GGATCAATCCCCAGCATCACAAAGAAAAAGAACAAAATTTTCTTGTCAATTGCATCATTATTACAATGAAGTCTCATCAGATTTTTAGTCGTGGCCATGTTGAGTTGTCTTGTTTCTCAGATGGTTGGATGTTCTGGTCAGAAGTTTCTCATCTCCAAGAAGACACATGGAAAAACTGACAGGGACCTGTGTGTGATTGGTATTGGTAAGAATTCCTGGAGCTCTCGTGGAGAGGCTGCTGGCCCAAGTCAGGCAGACGAGGAGCCTACCGAAGAGCAGGGAAATGTTTTGACTGACTTTTGTGCCACGTTGGCCAATTGTTAAGGCATGAAGTTTGAATGAACTCCTGAAGACCGATCCAAGTAAAATGCCCTGTGGGGTCCTGTGTAGAGGACAGGGATGTGTACCTGAGTTAAGGAGACAAAACTGACCCTCGAATGGACATAAATTCACTGTAAAGTGTGGAGGGCCTGAAGAGCTGCCTGGTCTTTCCTGAGTTTTTAAAACTTCCATTGTTGAAAGTCCTTACTGTACTCATACTCATCGAGAAATAGACACAATGACATAAATGATGAGGAAATCCTGGCATGGTGACTGTTGTAGAGTTGCAGTGGCTGGTGGCCAATCTTGGATTTGTCGAGAGGGCAGTCTTTCAGGTGATATATCTGCTACCTGATGGGCCATTTTATATTTACAAAAGGATTTCACTCAATTGCTATCTTCAGTGGGACATATTTTCTTGAATACTTTATGTTCTCTGATTGCATAGATATTTCCCACGCAGGAAGGCCAATGTCATAACAGTAATTAAGCTTTACTCAAAACTATCTTCTCTATGGAGCAGTCTTGGAGAAATCCCAATGACACAGGGACTTGTATTGGGAAAATTATGAGACAGCTCAACAGGGTATGACAAATAGAGTACCACTGCTCTTCCATCCTCAGTCTCCTGGAAAAGTTTTCAAATTAAAATTGCCAAGGGTCAAATGGGGTGCCATGGTTAAAGATATTCTCATTATTTCTAATGGGTGAAATAATTGCTAGGAAGAGCTATGTCTTAGCAGATCCTATGTGTCTCCTATGCTCCTGACCTCTGATGGTCAGATAGGTACCATGGGCTTTGATGGACTGTGCTAGGGCATATTTTTCACTAGGTAAAGAAAGCTGTTCAAGACCCATCAACTGTTTATAGCCAGACCTTCATGATCTAGAGCCTTCTGGAAATAAAATCTAGAGAAAGTCTGTTCTTGAACCTCACTGGAAAAGCTACAGCAAATTCTTTACCCACCCTGTGATAAAGTGTGGAGCCTAGAACCTTGGGTCTGTATCTTACAACTTGAGGGTGCTTCATCTAGGCTATAGCTGTGCCCTGTCATAGACTTCAAGTAGGGTAACCAAGGTCAAGCTGCTTTAGAAGCTTAGATGGCTTTCCCCAAGACACTGGGAGAAGATACCATTGGAACAAGACTCTTAACCTTCTTAAATTTTCCTTGGTTATGCCTACCTCTTTTTATTTGGTGGGTTACCTTTGTGACTAGAGTTCTAGACCCTTCTAGGCACTTAGAAGGGTCATTATTTTAATTTAACCTAGTTAAATTATCAGCTGAACCTAGATTGCTAGCTGAACTGGGAGGAATTTTTGCAGTCTAATACTTTTCTTGTAGATTACCAAATGGGTTATTTGTTTCTAGTGGAGAAATGTGTCATCTGGCTCACTTTTTGGTCATTCAGTTTTTGTTGTTGATTTGTGGGGACCTTATCTGAGGGGTGTGCTCTAAATTTTTGCCGTTATCTTCCTAACATTCACCATAGTCTCCCCAATGTGATGTCTTTTCTCAAAGTCTTGCCTATCTATGCGCAACCACCTAATGAATGCCAAAGTGTCTCTGTAGATGGAATGGGAAGAAGTTAAACGTGTGGTCCTAACTATGTTGTCATCCTCTAGTGTCATGACGAGGCTGGAAATCTAGGATGATGGTGACTGAGAGCAGCACTGGTGGCCTATGTGTTGGTAATTCTAAGTGAACGTGACTAAAAGGAGGATTATTACATGAAATTTATTAGAGCCTGTGGATTTGGAGTGAACAGGTGCACTGGGCCCAACAGTCACAGAGTCAATCAATACAGTATTTGATCTCAGTAGCTGGGCTTTGGTTGGTTGCAGTCAGCCCTTAGCCAGTCATCTAATTAATGTTAAAACCAAATGACTGGTTGACTAAGTTATAGCTGATTAAGCAGGGTTCTGTGCCTTGCTTCTGGTTTTCTATAAATTCTGTCTGATACATCATAGCGTGAGTTCTCTGATCCTGCTCTGGTTCTGGGAGCAGACTGATTCATCACCATGGTTTGTTTTGTTTTTTTATTGTGCACATAAGCCAATTATGTTACTAGAGTTCAAGGGCTCTTCCATTTTTACAAGGGCAACATGAAGCAGGGGGCACTGGCACGGAAGCTCCAGAGGTTCTGCATAGGTCTGAGTTGAGATAACTAAAGGTGGCCTCTCCATAAGCACCAACTTCCAGTGTAGACAAAACGGCCTTCTACTGGAAGAAGAAAAGCTAGGGTGCTTTAGCTGGAGAGGAGTCCATGCCTGGCTTCCATGGACAGGCGCTGTCTTGGTGGCTATTGCAGCTGGTGAGCTCAAGCTGAGGCCAGTGCTCATTTCTTTCTCTGAAGATTGAGGGCTAAAGCTATGAATTCTGCTGAGTCTGCAAAGCCTGTGCTTTATAAACAGAGCAAAGCCTGTGCTCTATAGACAGAACACAGCCTGCACCGGGTGCATCCATTCACAATGTGGTTTCCTGGACATTTCTAAGCCCTCTTTTAGGAGAGATTGATCAGGAGAAAAGATTCCATTCAAAATGATGCTGCCTGTTGACTATGCACTCTTCACCCAAGGACTCTGGTGGAGCCAGGCCATGAGATGACCCCACCATCATCCATTCTGCAGCCTGTGGGACAAAGAACACTTTTGACTTTCAAGTCTTATTTAAGAAATATGCTGTAATCCCAGCTGCTCAGGAGGCAGAGATCAGATTAGCAGTTCAAGGCCAGCCTGGGCTCATTAGACCCCATCTCAACAAACAAGCTGGGTGTAGTGGTGCATGCCTTCATCCCCCCTACATAGGAAGGATAGGTAGGAAGATTGCAGTCTAGGCCAGATGCAGGCAAAAATTCAAGACCTTATCTGAAAAATAACTAAAGCAAAAAGGGCTGGGAGCGTGGCTCATATGGTAGAGCACTGCCTAGTAAGCATTAGGTGCTGAGTTCAAAGCCCAGTTCCACAGGAAAAATACATGTCGTAATGCTGTAGCTACAATGCATAGTGATTCCTCCTCCTAGAAAAAGCAAATTAACAACTTCTCCCACGGGTTCAGCTTTCCACATGCTGTCAAGAACATCTGTGATCCACGGGAGGAGGCCAGAACGCCCACATCTGCAGGAGTTGGAAGAAGTTGATTCCCTTCCTCACCTATGACTTGGAGGGGTTTGAAGCTGCAGTGTGAAAAGTGATGTGTCAGAAGTAAAAAGGGGCACTAGGATTGTAAGTGGAGCCTGAAAAGAACCCAACTGCCACATCTCATGGTCAAAGATGAGCAAGGAAGATGGCTTCTTGAAATGGAGTCTACTCCTGGAGGCCACTGTGAACATCCACTCAGGAGGAAAGGACTCATGTTGTCTCCACAAGCACAGTTGGTAGAGCAGTGGCAGCTTTCCGAGGGCTGACTACCATCTTGAAAGTTCTCCATGGGTGAAACACTGCCAGACAGCATCACATGCTCAGAGAGCTGTTCTGTGAAAAGACAGTCAATGCAGGAAGGTTTGTTTCTTCTCTGAGATCGCCACAGCCACCCAGCCTGTAGCATCTGCCACCCGGCCTGTCCGGGCCAGGCCTCGCCAGAGATCGAAACTCACAGAGGCTCACCTGGTGGTTAGCAATGTTCGGCAATAAAATGTGTTTATGTGGCTATAATTACTGGTTATTTGGGGAGACTTTTTATTAGCATCTTCTTTACAAAGGGGTTTCAGTGTGCTATTTCACATGTGTGCATTGTACTTCGATGGGATTAGCCCCTCTGCTGCTCTGCTTTCCCTGCCCCCTCCCATATTTCTCAACAGCTTCCAGTGGTTTCCTTGTGCCATTGTCCATACACAGACACCATGTATTTCGATATCGTTACCTTCCTCATTCCCTTCACTCTCGTCTCAAACAGTCCTAAAATAAAACAGTTTTTAAGTTAAGGTATACACATTTCTAGACCAATTCTCTTGCACTCTTAATACACTACAGTACATAGTATGAACCTTTTATACCCCTTGGGGAAGCAAACCTGTCATGTGACTGATTTTAGTGTGGTAATTTGGAGCTCAGCCCACTCCAGGTCTCTGAAGTGTGCCTGTTCTGAGGAAGTTATCCTAAACTAAAACATATAAAAGCTAGTGCTTAAGACAATCTAGTCTTGGTCAAACAGCATGAGTTTGGAAACCATGTAGGTGAATATCAGAAGAAACGTGAAAAACTTACAATACGGCGAAAGACAACATAACTAAACAAAAAGTTGTAAGTACAATGCGAGCACAAATGTAAAAAAGATTACAAACAAAGCCAGTGGCAAAAAGCAATTAATAACTTTAGAAGTAGGGAGGAGTGCAAGCATGGGCTTTTGCAGATAAAATATGATTCTAGAAAAATGCAAAGCAAAACCAACTCTACTGGTTTACAAACCAAGTAAACTGGACTTCTGTTTATCCAAATCGTAAACATTGGAAATGATTTGGATAGAAAAGAAACTGGTCATTTTGGTTTATTTAGGTGATTATAACTTAGTATATAACACGTTACTGGTTAAAGCCATCAAAAGCTTTTGTCTAAGTTGGGAAAACTGTGTCAAGAACTCGGATCTCCTAATCTTTTGGTTGACTTTTCACCTTGTAAACCCTCAAATGTGTTCATTCCACAGTGGAAACATTACACTGAATGTGATGGGAGTCCCGATCCGTCAGTAACCCAAGAAATGAACACTTTCATTAGCTTGTGGAAAGAGGAAGCAACCGAGACTTTCGAGGCTGTGATGGAGAAGAGCAAGCTAGTGCTGTCTGTGAGTATTTGCTCTGTCCTGGCATAGGACTACAGTTACATGTGGTCAGATATTCACTCCAAAACCAGAATTAAGCAGATGTGTTATTTCTCCATTAGTAAGACTCCTGGTTGTGAGTCTTAGACTGTAGATGGAAAGTTGGTAGTCTCTTTGCTTTCTTTTTACAACTCTAATAAGGACAACATAACATAAACATAAAACATTTCTTGCTTTAATTGAAGAAAAATCAAGCTATATGTATTTATGTAAATAACCTGGGAGTTAATGGATGAGTTTTTATTTGTAGCTGGCATTATTGACTGTTATGGTTTGGATCTTAAATGCCCCCCAAAGGCCCACATGCTAAAGTGTTGGTCACGCAGAGGTGCTGTTGGTAGGCAGTGATCCCTAGCAGCTAAGTGCCACAGGCAGGCACCCGGGGACAAGATGGAGCAGTATGGCTGGGAGCCTTGAAAGTGTCATGGATAGCAGGGCAGAATCTGCTCTGCAGAAGATCAGAAAATATATTTGACTCATCTTTAGCTTAGTAAAGGGGAAACAGATACGCGCACTGCTCTCAATCACAAACGAAAAAGAAGCTGGATTGGAAGACTTTACGGGAAGATAGCACAGTGACAAGGAGGTGGAAAAGACGAAAGAACAGCTCACTGACATGTAGAATAAGAAGGGTGGGATTATGTGAGAAGGACATGAGGGAGCAGGATGAAATGGAGGTGAAGCAATGCTCAAAGGAATAACGGCTAACAGTTTTTCAGAACTGAATGATGTGAGTCCTCAAGTTCAAGAAGAGCAACACTTTCTCCGAGAAGGAGAGATGTGTTTTATGCACTCAATACCTCTGCTCCCACTTCCTGGACTTCAAGGGAGTGTCCCCATGAGGTCATGTTGGTACAACTACCCAGAATTCAGGCAGACACTATGTGTGAAGGCTTTGGTCCCCTGAGACTGTGGCCCCTCTTCCAAACACAAATGCCAGGTTGTCACCTGGACCTCTGAGCAGGTGGGGGAACTCACTCTAACAGCTCACAAAACATAGACAACCTTGTTCTGACAGCCACCAGCTTACTCCGAAAGATGTTAAAAGGGGTACAAATAAACCATGGGGTGGGAAATGCCCAGGGCGAGATGCATAGCAGGCCCGCACGTGCTTTGTCTCCTCCCTATCACCTACCCCAGAGTGCTCTGCACCCTAGTGTGAGGAGACCCCATTATGTAGACATGACTGATCAAATCACCACCATTGGGATGAAATCTGTGGAGTACAAACCCCATTACCACCCAAAATAAAAAAAAATTTAAAAACATAGTTCACAGGGAAATGCCAAGAGAGATTATCCAGTAGCCCAGTGAGGTTCGGGTGCTTGCACACCTATCATAGGTTTTGAGGGGTAATGAATGATTTTAGGGAATAAATTAAACATGATTTTCTTTCAAACTGAACGGGGACAGCCTTGTGGAGAGTTGCAGGAAGGCAGAGCAGAGCTGGGACCTGACGAGAGGCAAGACCAGCTTATGTGGATCCGGGTTGAAAGTGTCACCCTGGAGCCACCCTGGGGAAAATTGATGGGTGCACAGTCTGGGTGTTTTTGGAGACTTTTCCTTCTCTCTCTTCAGGGCTAGTGTTTCCTGGTTATTTAATGGGATTCCGGGGACAGAGTTTAACACAGGGCAGTTCTTTAGAGGATGCCTCCTGAGTGTGAGCTCTCCCTGTGCCTGAGTGGGGGCATTGTGGTTCTGAGGCAGCTAACAACACCTTCCAACTACTTACAACCCCGAGGTGGCCAGTACAGTCAAGTGAAACACTGTGGGACATGGTTTTCTGAGCCCAATGCCTTCAGGGCCTCCTGCCCTGAGGACCTATTTGTATGCCAGAGTTCTCACCCTGTCTGTCCTCACCAGCGGGGAGGTCCCAGGCAGGAGGCCAGGTTAGACTGTGGTGCTCAACCGCAGTGGAACAGCCAGAGCAGTCACCATGGTGACTGGGGGACGCTTCCTGACACAGGCACATGCAGTGCAGAGCAACCAACAGCAGGGACAAGACTGGGCAAAGAGAGAGAAGGGAACAGTCACGGCCATGCAGAGCTAAGGCCGGGTGTCTCTAGTGGAGGAACACGAGCTGATCGCTGTAACAGGATGACCCACAGGAAACACCAGTCTCCACCTTTCAAATTCAGTCAGCAAACTCTCACACAAGCTCATTGATGCTGTGAAGTTGGCACCAGTGGCCCAGCCTTACAAAGGAGGCTCAGAGATGTCAAGTCACTTGCCCAAGGTCACAGTGCTGGTGAGGAAAAGCTAGGACTGAAGGCCAGTATTCCGCCTGAGCCCAGCACTGCAGCTACCAAACTGTCTCTTACTGTAGAAACTGTGTGCCCTCCTTCCACACTCAGCATTAAATTCTGCCACTTTCCAGTCCCTGGGCCATGCAAGGCCTCAGTTTCATCATTCATGAGATGGCACGGTAACAAGACCTTCCCCGTAGAGCCATGACGGGAATCCAGCTGGTGAAGCAGTTTTGTATCCTACTGCACATGGCTCGGTAATGTGAGGACTTCGCTCTTCGTCACATTGTGCCTTGTTCCTTCAGACCATGGTTTCCATGTGGTTGGCCCCCTGAGTTTCACATTCTGGAAGCTTTGTCCCCAGTGGGTACTCTGCAGGTGGTGGAGCCCGCAGGAGGGGGCCCCGGGAGGTAATTAGGAGGCTCCACCCTCACGAGTGGATTGATGCTGTCTTGAGGGAATGGGTCTGGAGTTCCCTCACCAGAGCTGAGATGTCCCCTGAACACACAGCGCTGTGACTAAATCAAGTACCCGGCTCTGCACTCCTCTCTGGCAACACAAAGTGGGACATGTCCTCCGTATTGCCCCCCGACTCTGTAGCACATAGTGATGGATGTGTCTAAGGGCGGTGTGGGAGGAAGTGTTTATTCCCCTGTGATCTTAAATTACAGAATAAATGCAGAACTTCCCCAAACTGACAGCACACCTTCCCTTTCATTGACTGTTTGTCAGCCGACTAATGCAAACATTCTTTTGCATTGCAGCTAATTGAGAAATTGAAACTAATTTTATTGGAAGCTCCACCATGTGATTTGGAAAGCAAAAACATCATACAGTACCAACGATCAATCCTTCAACTGCAGGAGCTCCTTCACCTCAAGTTCAATGTGGCCACGGAAATACTCCTCAGAGTATGTGACACTTTTCTTATCTATTAACTTTTACAGCCTTATACAATCTACTATCTGCTGAAATAATCTGGTATCATTTGTCTTTTATTAAACTCAGAGGCTATGAAAAGTTGGTAAAATAATTTAAAGACATATATTATCCAGACCTAAGAACTGTTAATGCTTTCTCTAAAAATAAAATACTATCAGTATAGCTAAAGTCTGGCTTTTCTTATCTTGCCAAGACTTACTACACTTGCTAAGAAAATGAGTTCACAAAACTATATTAGATATCCACTTGTAGATAAATCAACTGACACAAGATTGCAGTTACTGGAAGGAACCCTATTTTTCTCTAACTTTAAAGGGATTAAAGGAATAGCATCATGAAACCCCATATGTCCATCTAGATTTAGCAAATTTTTAGCTTTATTAAATTGGTATTTGAAAATCAATAATTTTTAAAGATTGAGCGTGATGGTACATGCATGAAATCCCAGCTACTCAGGAGGCATAGGTAGGAGGATTATGGCTCCAGGTTAGTCCAGGAAAAGTTAGCACAAGACCCTGTGTGAAAAACAAAAGCCTAAGGACTCGGAGCATGGCTCAAGTGGTAGAGCACTTGCCTAGCAAGCAGAAGCCCTGAGTTCAAACCTTAGTACCACCAGTAATAATTTTAAATGTTTTGTAATATCTGATTTATCTACATCTTTATTTTTCTCTCATACCACTTGAAAGTTGTCATTGTTGGGACATTTCATCCTCAAATATCTCAACACTGATGATAAGATCCTAACCATGCATCATATCAGACCTAAGAAAAGCTAGTAATTCATAATTCTAATATCCAGTCCATATTCAAACATTCCCTAATTTCCCACGAATGTTTTTTCTAGCTATTTTAATTTGATTTCACTTTATTTTTAAATCCGAAAACCATCTGTAGTTGGCTGCTTTGGGTGAGTGTCTTTGATCTAGAACATAGCCCTTCATATAGCTGGGCAGTGTGCTTTCTCAGTTTAGGATGAACGGCAAAGGTGGCTTACACAGGATCTGTTACTGTGCGTGCTCTTGGAGTCACTCATGCTATACTGTGACAACTCTTCTGTATTACAGGACAACAGAGTTAAGGTGATGTATTGTGATTATTAGACAGAACTTTCCTGATACTCTTTTGTATTTCCCGACGTTAAATTTGAAATAGAGATATCCGTAGTATGCTTAGAGAGGAACCAGAGTAGCTGAGTGTGTAGCTCAGTGGGGGAGCACTTGGCCCAGCATGCAAAAGACCTCAGGTTCCATCCCCAGGACCACATGCAAAAATAAACAAACAGGCATGAGGACTAGCTGGAGCCTAGGTCCTGAGCGAAAGTGAAAGGTTAGTTTGGGTTATCTTGATGTGGTCTATAACAAGCTCAGAGATGAGTTGGGGTTGTGTCAAAGGAGCAGGGACTGCTTTAAAGAGTTCCTGCTGGCCAAATACAGATTTATACAATTATTGGAAAGAAGGATTGTAATGAATTGTAACATGCTGAATAAATTAAAGTGTGAATCTAAAGTGATGCTCCAGAAAGGAAGGGGAAATGGGATGGGGAAGAAGGGCTGTTCATAGAACAATGCCATCTGAGTGTGGAAGGAAATGCCACTTATAAAATCACCACTTTGCAATCTCCAATGACATTCTTGATTCGGATAAGGATCCTTAACTGGCCACTCAAACGGTGAGGTGAAAATTGCTAACGGTGGCATTATTCTCATGGTGCCACAAGGCTTGACCTCACACTACTGACCAGCTGTCATACTTTGTGACAGGGAGATGCAGTGGTCAAGACCTTAACCAAGTGGTCAGGTTTGTGTTTTCAGCGGTGGGAAACCAGATGCCTCCTGACAGAATGAGTCATGAAAAGCATGACGTAGCTTCAATGTCTTCTGGCTGAAAATGGCTGACCTGAATCCTGCTGTGCACAGAAAATAGTTGGGGTAGAAGACTTCATCAAACATCATTGTCAGGAAGCACCCCATAATCCTGCAGTGCACGGCAGCTCTAAGACAATATTGTGGACACGTCACAAAGCTAGTGTCATCGAAAACAAAAAGTACAGAGCAATAATCAGTTTTAAAAAAGGATTCGCAATCTACAATCCTCAGCACTTAAGTTTTTACATTATTGTGACCAAGACATGCTGACTTATAAAACCCTGGAGGACTGCTCAGTTTTGAGCAGTGAGCACCAAACAATGTTAGTCATTATTTTAAAACATCTTCAGATGCTTCAGAGCATCCGTAAGGTGAATGTTTAACATTAGATTCAATTCTAGACCATTGAAATGTGAATCATAAATTGGATATTGTGCTTCCTAAGCTTCTGTCTTCTACATAGGCTGGCCTTTCCAGTAGCGCAGTGCACACTTTAGTGACATACAGGTAGAGAAGATGTGCGTAGTTAAAATGAACGTTATGAGTCTGACGTCAAAACTGTAAAGGTGGCATAAAAGCGATCCATAGGTGCTGCCTGGGAATATAGGAGCAATTTTCCCATGCTAGGGGTCGATCCCAGGCCTCAGTCTGCCAGGCTAGCACTTACTGCTAACTTACACACACTTACACTTACTGCTAACTTACACACCAGCCCTGTGGGAACAACTTCAGTCATCTTCAGAAAGTGAAAAACGAGTGTCCCATTTAATTTCGTACATCTTTGCATCCTTTACAGAATCGAAAAACAATCCTTTGTCACTGTGATTGAAACTTCTTTTTACCTAGGTCATTCTTTTGGTTAATTAAGGGAATCCAACACTTAAGTGATGAAATAACTTAGCTAACTTGCATAATTTTAAGAGCCTCTGGCTGTTTGCAATGTTCTCCCCGCTTCTCTTACAGCAGGCTAGCACCTTAGCAGATCTGGACAGCGGAAATATGGAAAAAGTCATTCAGGATGAAAATGTGACCCTGTATCTGTGGGCGAACCTCAAGAAGAATCCAAAGTACGCCTGTGGGTGACGCTTTCCCTACATGTGTGACACAAGTCTCACGCCATCATCACAGGCAACGCCTAATGCTGACAGCCTGGTGTAGTTGGAAAACTCACATTAGGGAGTCGGGTTGGGGTTTGAGTCACAGGCTGCTTCATGTCAGGCAGCTTGCTTGGCTGTGAAGATCATTAAGTTTATCATCAGGAGGATGCTGACTGTGTGACTCACCTTAATATAGGACTGGTTTAAGGGTTTCCATTACCACATGAGAAGTCCCAGCAGGTGTCATATACAAATACACTGAGTGGATGTCAGGTCTTCTCCCCAAAACAGTGGAAGTGGCAGGTACTTTCTACTTGGCCATCTGGACCTTAAAATTTTTCTCTCTGTGAACTGTTAAAAATAATAGATTTTCATATTAGTTATTGTTCAGATATTTTGTGACAGCAAAGAAACATCTTTCTGAGGAATGATGGGGATGAAACTTGATCCTAAATATTTCAAATTAACTGAGTGAGCATGGCAGTGAATTTGAGGGGGAAATGGCCAGAATAAGTTAGACCTAAGTTCTGGTCCAGCTCTGAACAGTCTAGTCATATGACATGTTACAAAGTTAGACTTTATTTTTTATATTTAGCAAAAGGAAGGAGCAAAATATTTACCAAATCTAAAAGGAGCAAAATATTTACCAAATTCTATGTACTACACAATACTGCTGTTTAAATTTAATCATAGGCAATACATGACCTTTTTGGTTGTAAGATATGTTACACACAGAAGCGTGAAGGAATTTAAGCTGCATAGTTTTAAATGGATAAAAATCAAACAAGTAGCTCTGTGCCTATTGCCCAGGCTTACCAAGAGAATTAGGTGACGTGTTTTGTCACAACCAGTCAGGTTGGGTCAGGTGGTATTTTGATGGGGATGGTGGGGATGAGTTGGTCAGGCTGTGTCACTGAGACATCAAAGTGCAGCTGGCTAAAGGATGCTGGAGTAAACTGAGGTCAGGTACCAGTGGGGAGTCTTCAGCAACAACCCAATGCTTCTTAGGTTTTGGAAGCTACAGCTTCTCCTAAACATTAGATAATCCATTTGGGGTACCTCAGGTCCATTCAGGGTGCCCTACCCCACCTAGGAAAGATAATACTCGTGCTAAACCCCTGATAATATAAACAGTAATTTAGGCTCCATAAGTGATGATATCCAGAGAGAGAAGGCCTAGGCTGCAGCACTGGGCAATATCAAAATTTAAGGACAGATAGGAAGAAGGCCATGTTGGGGTTTGGGGACAGGGGACAGAAGGAGCTGTCAGAGATGGAAGAGGGGAGTGTGGGGTAGGAATCCCAAGACAGGAGGATGGCTTCAGCCCCTCAGTCAAAATGCTGCCCCCGCTGAAAAAAAAAAACCCAAACCAACAAACCCGGGAATGGTCGGGATCCAAAACTGTAGTGAAACCAAAATGGGGAGAGAGACTGCTCAGGTGTGAGTGTGAAACACACCTGGAGTTTCCAAGGGGCTCATCCTTTGTTACTGTGAATTATCGACAGGTACAAATCCATCAGGTTCTCTGACACACAGATTGGCTTTGAAATCCCAAGGATATTAGCGACCAGTGACATCGCTCTGAGACTCCTACACACGCGCTACGATCACGTCACTCCTCTGTGCCCTGTGCTCATCCCGGCAGAGGAACCTGTCCCCCCGGAGCCTGAGGTCGTGCCAGAGGTCATGGGGAACCCAGAAGAAGCTGTTGACCAGAAGGACCTGGTGGACCAGGAGGAGTCCAAGGAGGGCGAGGGCGAGCCTGGGTCAACTCAGGAGGAAGAAGTGAAGGAGGAGCCCAGAAGTGCTGAGGAGCTCAGGGTAGGCACAAGTGTCACCGGGTTTCCGTGATGGGTTCTCTAGGCCCTTCCTAAGTGATTAGAAATTGTCACTTTCTTGCCAGCCCTTCACATTTTGACATGCATCTTCTTTTCCGCCTTTGATCACTACTCATGGCTGGAACAGGTGCTTCAGTGCTAGCACTTGGCGTCTTTGTCGCAGCCACACTCCTGGAAACCTGTGACGCTATCTGATGAGGTGTGCCGATTGTAGATTCCAACTCGGCCAAGGGAACCTGCTATTGAATAGAAACTTGCGGTCGATCATCTTAAAAACCGAGGCTGGGACTTTCTCAGAGCTTTGTAAGAAAGAATTTTATAAAGTAAAACTTGATTTTCTTAAAATGCTGTGCTCCTCTGCAAACTTTGGTACATTGTTTGAGCAGCCTAATAACCTCAGACCCTTACTTGGCTTCTGTGCTTTTTTTCTGTTGTTAAAATTTCCAAACTGCTAATTGGTTACATTAGGAAAAGTGCGGACTCAGTAAGTCTCTCTCTGCCCACAGCAACTCTCTCGTTTAGCCACGGTCCATTGGTATCTTAGGTTGCATGTTTTCTCACACGTACTTAAGACATGAAATGTATTGGTTTATTGATTTATTTTCTTCAAACATAGGAAAGAGTTAAGGATTAGGTTTCATATAAATTTAACATAAATATGAATTATTTGGTATTCTAAGAACATATCTGCTGAAGAATTCCACTTGAGATATTATACCAATATCAATGTATATAGTATATACTGTGTCAGATCGGATAGTACAGACCTCATAGCAGTAGAGAGTGGATGTGGCCTAATCCAGTCCAGAAATGTCAAATTTAATGAGGCCTCCAGGAAGGAGAGCCCAGAAAGCTAGTGGTGGCCAGTATGGTAGAGAGGTGGGAGATGAGTCAGTCTGTTAAAATGGTCTTTGGGCAATAAGATCTGGGGTTTTTTAAATTTCATTTTAGCTCTCAGGTAGCACAGTGTCTTTATTAGAGTTTGGCAATATTTCCAGGTCTTTCCCTCTCCTGGAGAGGTGAGAAGATGATCCCCTCTGTTCCCACGGTCACAGTGTGACTTGCTTTAGGTGGATGTGAGAAATGGGGCCTGTGGGAGGTGGGGAGGACAGGTGGACAGGCCCCGGACATGACATGAGCTATTTTAGCTTAAATGACAGCAGCAACAAAAATGAAACCCTACCGGCCCAAAATAAAATGTGGCAGGATTTGTGATCTGAAATTCATTTTAAAAAAAAGAACAATACAAAGTATCAAAATTACTGGGAGAATGAAAGGAGTGTTAGAAATGCATGGTTTGGATCTGTCAAAGTGTTGGGTAATTCTTCTCTACTGCACCAGTTCTTGACATGAGTAACATTTTTGAAAGCCTATCAATGCCATCATAAAAATGACATCAATTTAAAAATCATAAGCTGGTTACTAGAAACTGTGTCATTGAAACAGTTATTTGAATGTACGTGGTAAAGCAGTCCTTGGGCACGTATGCCTCATTAAGGTGCCCTCATGATTTGCTGTTCTGTCAGCTGGGAAACAGTTCTATATTAAATAGAAGCATGTGACTTTGCCACTGTGGCCCACGGTGCACCTGGGTATCCTAAGATCTGACACTGTTGCGGTGGCAGACGTTTGGTTCACATCACCACAAGCATCAAAATAGCAGGCCACCCCTTGCTCACTGGCGTGGTTAGTCACATCTGCCTTTGCTATCACTTAATGTGACATTGGACAGCCCACCAGAGGCACACACATGCACGTCAGACTGACTGGTTAAAGCACATTTTATGGAATTCACAGACCAGTAGTTCAGGAAACCCCATGGCGGCCACAATGACTGGGCAGGAATGATCTCGCCGTGTGGCCCCATGTAGGCTGCTTGGGAAGTGTGGTCAGGAGTCATGAGCACAGGAGACTGTGACATCTGGGATTCGAGGAAAAGATGTCACTGCAGGGACTCAGGGCAGTTCCAGGGTGTCCTCTGCCACCACCAGGATGGGAGCATGCTTAGCCGGGCACTTGGGACAGCTGGCTTAGACTGCAAATAAATTTAATTCTTTGTAGCCTAAATAATCAGATAGATTAAAGGTTTAAATAGGAAACACTAATAAAACTCATAAAATAGTAAAGTAGCTAAAGAGAACATAGAAAGATATTTTATTATTTTTACAAAAATCTTTATCAGTGTACCACCCAAAACCATGAATGAAAAAGATTAATTGTATTCCAACATTCCTATACTAAATAAAGTCAAAAGATAAATAGCAGATTGAGAAAAATAAGTCAACAGATGTAACAAAAGGTTAATAGCCTAAGGACTTGTGCAAATCAGAGAATTTCCCAAATAAAACCAAGCAAAGGATGGGAGCAGGCAGTTGAGAAAAGATTGCTGACTGACTGATAAAACGTAGGATTACACTCAGCCAGATTAGTGACAAAGCAGAAGCAGCCTATATCTGATCTTACCAAAGTAAGCAGAGAGCACATTGTGTCCCCCACATTGGACATGCTTGCTTGACACTGTACAGATGCCCCTGTGGCTAGTGATTTTCCTTTTAGGAATTTGTTACTGGAAATAATGTCACAAATCAGTAAAAATGAACACACCAAGATTTTCATTGACATGTTTGTATAGTAGGAAAAAGTCTGCAAATTAATCATAAAATATCCAGATACTAGTAGCTGTCCAAAATGGTGAAATCCTTGTATCTTTTATGTGGAAAAATGTCTAGAATGTATCAATAAGGGTCCTTTTAGCCAGGTGCAGTGAATCACACCTATAATTCCAGCACTTGGGAGGTGGAGGCAGAGGTTGGAGGATTTCAAGTTCAAGGCCAGCCTGGGGAGAGTTAACAAGACCAAAGAACAAGACCAAGAACAAAATATTTTTGAAGTTATAAAGTCTACTTATAAGTTCTAAAGTATGATTCTGTTCATGTGACGATGAAAATACTTGGTTCAAAGTGCACAAAAAAACCTGAACGCCTCCTCGCCACAGTGGCTGGTGTGTGTGTGGCGGGGGGCGGGGGGTGGGGTTGTGGAGGTTGAGGCACTAGTAGGACAAATAAGTGGTGTTGTCACTCTCTTACACTTCTTTGCTGTTCCTGCTGCGCTATTCAAATTTTCAATAAGGACTGACCACACCCTTTCCTCATAGGAAGTGAAGCAGTGCATTTCTTGGTTTTAAGGGGCAGAGGTCATGGTAGGCCTCTGCCTCTCCCAGCACCTCGCTAGGCACATCTGTCCTCCACTCATCGTTCAAGACCTGCTTCAAGTTTTACCTCCACAAGTTTCCTCCTTTCTCCCCGGATTACGTTAGTGTTCCTCTGTGCTCTCAGCTTGGTGGTGTTTGAGTGCTTACCTTAAACTCCACGCTGATCGTGAAGCTGAGAATGCCTCAATGGAGGTCGCACTCGAGGTACACAGCCCAGGGCTGTTAAGTGATAAGGGCCTGGGGGCTGTATGAATGAGCGAGGGTCAGGCGAGGGAACGCAAGATGGGTCATGGTGGAGTCTGAGTTGTTGAAAGCAGCCTGCACAGATAGGCCCCCGCCGTCATGTCAGGGAATTCAACCCCCCTGCCATCAAGAGACACTTAGACCCTTCCCTTAGAGTCAGGTGTGCAGGACATCATTCCTGCTCCCTTTGTGGAACCTGCAGGCTTGTCACCAGGGCCCCCAAGGACCCCTCCATCCCACAGTGGGGAAGAGCATAGCACTAAATGTAATTTGTGACACGATGTGACATGTTGCTAAATGGGTTCTGAATTTAAAAGCTGGCATCTTCATGAAATTCAGCTTCTGTGTGCTTGTGTGGACATTACAGGTTTCTTGTATATTAGTAGGCAAAATTACCATGTTTTGGTTTTAGAGGAAGAAATTTCTCAATTTACATTTTTGTTCCCCTTCATAATTTGAGGTTGATATATTTTATTAATGTTACATTTCTCATATCTTTGTAATGACTTTGAAGGCTGGCTGCAAATGCACGAGAAATGAACGAGCTTATGTTTGACAATGCCTGAGTTATGCTAGATATGTGAATTAACCACAGGTAACACACATTTCACACTTTCTTAGTTTAAAATTTAGTTTCTTCTGAGGCCAATAGGAAAAGGGGAACAGGTACTAGAGAAAAGGTTAGATCAAAAAGAATTAACCTCAAAGGTAACACCCACGCACAGGAAATCAATGTGAGTCAATGCCCTGTATAGCTATCCTTATCTCAACCAGCAAAAACCCTTGTTCCTTCCTATTATTGCTTATATCTCTCTACAATAAAATTAGAAATAAGGGCAAAATAGTTTCTGCTGGGTATTAGGGGGGGGAGAGGGAGGGGGTGGAGTGGGTGGTAAGGGAGGGGGTGGGGGCAGGGGGGAGAAATGAACCAAGCCTTGTATGCACATATGAATAATAAAAGAAAAATGAAAAAAATAAAATAAAATTTAGTTTCTTACCTTAGGGTGGTACAGCAGCTTTCTTTTTTCATGGGCCTATTAAGACCTTGGACACGAGAGGGCGCTTATACCACATTCTAGTTCATTTAACCAGGTCACTACCCATGCCGTAGGTAGAGCCCTCCCAAGTCATATGTAATGCAAAATATTTAGAAAGGCCCAGTTCAAGTGCAGCGTATTTGTGAGAATCTTTAAGTGGTAATTACCTTCAGAAATATTTTAGATGGGTCTTTGAACTGGTAAAGGTTCACTTTGAAAGTAGTCTTTGTCTTCAAGACACTTGGACAAGCAGATAGAGGACCAAACATAAAATATGGAATATGTATAAAATTTGTCAAGGCCTTCTTCAGTGCCTGCTAGGAGAATCCAGCGAGATCTTGCTTTGACTGTGCTGACAGTCTTGTGCATGTGAGAATTATGAGCAAAAGGGGATTGATGGTGAAAATAATGAGCAGATTATTTTTCTCTGATACGATGATATTTAAGCTGAATCTTATAGTCTCGTGGAGACTATAAGAGGGAATGGTATGGATATGCGAAGTGGCCTTACAGGTTTGAGGACCATAAATAAAAATCCATGGAAACAGTCAGGTGGAAAACCTGGCATCGAAGCTCCTTAACTTTGAACAACCTCAAGCTTCCCAGAGATTTATGTTGTCAATGCATTTCCATGATCACACCCTGGACCTTACTGGGGTTTGAACTCAGAGTTTCAGACACTCTACTGCTTGAGCCACACCTGCAGGCCTTTTTGCTCTCATTATTTTGGAGATAGGGTCTCACTTTTTGCCCAGGCTGGGCTGGACTGTGAGCCTCTTATTTTTAGGTTTCCTGCTATAGCTGGGATAACAGGGACATGCTATCATGCCCAACTTTTTTCTGTTGAGATGGGATCTCACAAATTTTTTTGCCCTGGGTGGCCTAGAACCATGATCCTCCAGAATTCAGCCTCCCAAGTAGCTAGGACGACAGGCGTGAACTGCCAAGCACCTATCTGATTCTTTTTTTTTTTTTTAATTCAGTGAATTTTGTTGAGTGCCAACCTCTCCATGGTAGGTCCTTTCCTGGCCCTTAGAATACTGGAGAAAGGACAAATAAGACTGCTACCCTCATAACTGGCATAGCATTTAAGAGAAACCAACAGTAAATCAGAAAAAAAAGAGAAAATACCAGATAGAAATAAATGCCATGCACAGAATTAACCAGGGTTAAACAGGTGGTGGCTTTAGATTGAGCTGTCGGGGGAGGGCCTTTCTAATGAGGTGTGACAAGAGGGACTTAGCTGATGGTCACAATGCACACTCAAGTCATAGGGCAGAATTACTGCCAAGGTTGCAAAGCAGAAATGAAGACCAGGAGGCCAATGATTGATGTCTGATGGACATAGAGAAAACAGTGTAGGGGTCAGAGAGGGAGGCAGAAGCCGGCAAGTGGACCTTACAGAGTGCGAGGGTGACCGTTACTCCAAGTGTGAGGGGTGGCCAGCCGTTAAAGGCTGGATATAGGAAAGCAACAGATCCAATGTGCAGCTTTCACGGATGATTCTGGCCAAGACCAGATTATGAGGAGCCAGTGTGTGAAGAGTACTGACAAGGCATGAGGGGTCCTGGTAACTTGAACAAAGAGACAGTGACAGTTCTGGGAAGTTGGATACACTTGGGATATGTTTTGCTGAGTTTTGATTTGGAGAAACTAGGCAGGTGGTGGTACAGTTTACAGAGATGGGCAAGAGCAGATGAATCAGGGGACAGACAGGCCACTTTTGTTTGGGACACACAGATGGAAATGCCCAGTAGCAGACCTGAATCTGGAGTTTTCAGGACAGCTATGGCTGTCAATACCAGACACAAAATATGGTGAAAATATACGTATTTTCCAGCTTCATTGCCAAGAGGGCCAGGGAGCTTGCAAAACTCTATAAAGGATCGAGTTGCCAGCAATGAGGTTTGAAGTTCAAGTTCTGTGCAGACGTATGTCCTGATGACACACCTGTGTAGGAAGTGACTAGGACTGCTGACACCAACTGACTTTAGCAGGAGGAAAAACATGCACATTAATGAGCACAGGGGGCTGAGCAAAATCTGAAACTCAAAAAAGGGTCAGATGCTTGAAACTTAAACACTACTTCATAGGGGAGAAAGTAGGGGTCCAGGCACGGAGAAGGGTAGCAGATGAGTCTTAAAGAAGCTGAATGGACCAAGGGGACAGACAGTGACCTGGGACAAAGTTCTGTGGGCACTCAATGTGGTGTCAGATCTTGGGCTTCCTTCTCTGTGATATGACTTTAACACTTCCTTGGTTAATAATGCCAGAGAGAGGACTGAAGGTGATTGTGATCCTTCTGGTGGTCAGTGGGGAGGGTGCCCCCTACCGTGGGTCCCTTACCTTCTACAGTACCAACAAAACTGTCATGCTCTTTGTTTACAAGCTTCCCTAATAGACTAGAAGCTCCTTAAGTGAGAGACCGTCTTTTCTCTTTTTTTATTTCCAGTGTCTAGCTATGACAATACAATTTGAGAACTCTATGAAAATTATTTGAATGAATAAGTGACAAATTTCAAAGGCACAATGAAAAAGGTTAAGTCTGGTTAAGAAGACGACATTATGGTGATGACAGTAAGGGTAAGGGGAGCAGCTAAGGGGCACTTGGTGCACAGTGGCTGAGGATGAGAGACAAGGCAAATGGGATGGCTGGCTTTAGTCTCTGAGGGAAATGCTGGTGTGAAGTTGCTCTCTTGCTGCAGAAGTGCTGAGGTCAAGTGAACGTGATGGATATGATCCAGTGTTGGGGTTTGAATGTGAAAAATCCCCCACAGGCTCATGCTTTGTCCCCAGCTGGTGGCGCTATTTTGGGAGGTGGTAGAAAGTTTAGGAGGTGGGACCTAGCTAGAGGAAATGGGTCACTGGGGGTGTGACATCGAGGTCATACCTGGTCCCCAGTCCCTTCCTCTGTCCTCTCCCTCCTTCCTGACTGCCATGAGGTGAACAGCTGCCTCCCCCACGTGCTCCAGCTGCCATGCTGTCCTTCCTTACCATACTGACTACTTGGGGCGGTGGAAACTCGGTTTTGTGACTTACATTTTGCTCACACTTGGAATTCCCTGTGACCCATTTTTGGCAAAGTCTTAATCATCTTCCACGTTCACTTCAAACTTTACTATCTTCAGGTAGTGTTTCCTGTCCTCACCTGCCCATAATTCTGGAAAGAACCAAGCCAGGGACTATGGACTGACATCTCTGAAGCTGTGAGTCAAAATTAGTCTTCCCTCCCTGAAGTGACTTGTGTCAAGTACACAGTGCCAGGAAGCTGACTGACATGAACAGCTCACAGTGTGAGTGCACACACCACGGCACTGTTAGTAAAAACAGCACATTTTTATAACAGCACTGCATCGTCTAGCACTTTACAGTATGTGAAATTCTCCCATTTTATTTGACCTAGAAAAGATCATCTCCCTAAAGCTTTGTTTCTTTATCTCTTACAACTGTTTACAAGATGCTTTCTGTGTCTGGTACACAGCTAGCACTGAAGGTGTTGGCATGTTAGGAATTTGAGACTCCCTATTCTCAAAGGACTTGCTCATAGTAACAAAGGTAAGTAAGCAGCAGACTTAGACAAGAGCCTAGCTCTTAGGACTCTTTGTTACCATATTCTTTTTACTGTCCTACATTATGAGGTAACACCTTCTACACGACTTGATGTCCAGCCTCTTTAATATATTTTAATATTTGGGACTTACCCAAAAAGCAGGTTCTGGAATTATTCCATAACAGAGCTAATAGTTGAAGTCAAGCAAAATCTATCCTTTAGCTACAACCAAAATCTAAATATAATTTAAAATTTTATTAACACATATTAAGTGCACAAGTTAATAGAAGTCACTTGAATAGTTCCATCCATGCCTAAGCACACATTGATCAGATCCATCCAATTCTCTCCCACCCTCCTACCCCAACACCATTCTCCACCCCTAGTAACTACTGGCCTCCTTTCAGGTCAACAGTGTTCATTTTCTGCTATGAGAGAGAACGTGGGATACTTGTATTTCTGTGTATTTCACTTGACATGATGTCCTCCACTTCCATCCTTTTTCTGGGGGTGGGGACAGCACTGGGGTTTGAACTCAGGGCTTCATGCTTGCTAGGCAGGTGCTCTACCACTTGAACCACACTCCCAGCCCTTTTTGCTCTAGTTATTTTGGAGAGAGGGTCTCACTTTTTGTCATCCTGGACCACAGTCCTCTTATTTTACACTTCCCACTGGAGCTAGTGACAGGAGTGTGCTACCATGCCCAGCTTTTCCCCATTGGGATGAGGTCTCATGAACTTTATTTTTGCCTTAGGCTGACTTTGAACTGCAGTCTGCTCAGCCTCGAATCATAGCTTGGGGTGACAGGTGCACACAATTGCACCAGCTATTGGTTGAGATTTGGTCTCACAAACTGTTTGTCCTTGCTGGCCTTGAACTACCATCCTCCTGATCTCAGCCTCCCAAGTGGCTAGGGTTACAGGTATGGGCCACCAGTGCCTGGCTACTTCCATCTTCTTTTACTGAAAATGGCAGGATTTCCTTCTTCATGTCTGACTTATATTCCATTTCTTTATCCATTCCTCTGTTGATGGGCACCTAGGCTGTTTCCATAGCTTGGCCATTGTGAATCGTGCTTCAGTGAACATGGGCCAGCAGGTGCCTCTTCAGTGTGAAGGTTTTGTTTCCTCAGGGCACATGTGGAAACTCCACTGTGGCTGCACTGATTTACATTGCTACCAACAGTGTGTACTCCCTGTCCTCCACATCCTTGCCAGCATTTGTTTTGTTTTTAGACAGTAGCCATTCTGACTTGGTTGAGAAGGCTGTAGTTTGATTCTGTTTCCCTGATGGGCAATGACATTGAGCATTTTTTCATATATTCATTGGCAATTTGTATTTCATTCTTTGAGAAGTATCTACTCAGATCATTTGCCCATTTTAAATTGGATTACTTGTTTTGCAGTGCTGGGAATGGACCACAGGGCCCCACACATGCTAGGCAAAGGCTCTACTTCTGAGCTACATCCTCAGCCCTTTTGTCTTTTTATTGCTAGTTTTTAACGTGATGGACATTAACCCTCTGTCAGATGAAAGGCTGGTGAATATTTTCTCCCATACTGTAGGCTGTCTCTTCATTCTTTCTATGGTCTCCTTTGCTGTGCAGAAGCCTTTTAGTTTGAAGTAATCCAATTTGTCACTTTTTGTGTCTCTTTCCTCTGCTCCAGGGTTTTGTCTTTCCAGACATTTCTAGTCATTGCCTGTGACCATGTCTTGAAGGGTTTCCTGTGTTTGCTTTCAGTAGTTTCTGATCTTATGTTTAGGTCTTTGATCCATTTTGAGCTGATTTTTGTACAGGGTGAGAGAGACCTAGTTTCAGTCTTCTACATGTGGATATCCAGCACCATTTGTTAAAGAGGCTGACTTTTTGGCATGTTTGCTGAGAATCAGTTCTTTGTAAGTGTATTGGTTTATTTCTGGGATCTCCATTCTGTTCCATTGTCTATGGGTCTGTTTTTAGGTCAAGGCCATGCTGTTTTAGGTACTGTGACTCTCTAGCATGTCTTGAAATCAGACTCTGTGATACCTCCAGCGTTGCTCATTTTGTCCAAGGTTGCTTTGGCCATTTGGGGTCCTTCATGCTCCAAGTGGATTTTAGGATGTTTTGTTGTTCTGTGAAGAACATCATGGGCATTTTGATGGGGATTGCATTGAATCTGTAAGTTACTTTGGATAGTGTGGTCATTTTAACAATATTCTCACAATCCGTGGACATAGGAATCCTTTCTAGTTACTGTGCCTTCAGTTTCTTTGTCTGTGTTTTGGATTTTCATTGTAGAGTTTTCACTTCCTTTGCATCATTCTGGATGGGGAAAATTGACACATTCCTATAAAACTGGAACAAAGCAATGATTATGTTGAGATATGATCTTTCTGTACCTACTTTGTTCAGGGCTTTAATCATGAATCCTGAGGCTATGCAGGGATATCTGGCCCGTAGGGCAGTTCAAGTTCAGAACAGTGACTTCTCAAGAGCAATGACAACCATCATCTAGTCATGGTGGCGGTGGGCACCGTGATGTTCCTCTGCTGATCCTGGAAGAGTGCCCACCCGGAACAGGGACCTCACCCCAAAAGCTGTGCACACTTGGGAGCAAGGCAGCAGCTGCTCGGCCAGGAGCAAGCAGGAGTGGGACATGCCAGAACCAGGAAAATTCCTCACCTGACCTCCTTTGGCCCAGTGCCTCAGGGACAGTGTGACAACTGAAGCCATGGTGGTGTTCAAAGCCACTTCAGCACTCCCCTCAGGGCAGGGCAGGGCAGCAGTTGACCCTGGAGTCCTTTCCCCTCTGTCAGAATCAGGCACCTGTGGAAGACTAGGGGAAGGGCTTGTGGGAGCCATGTGGACACTAGCCTTTGGCCCTGGCACTGGTCCAAATCTACATTCAGCCCCAGAGGGCAGGTTCTGGTCTCCATTGCATGAGTGCAGAGCTCTTCACATCCATCCACATCACAACACCTCTTCTTGACAGTGCAGGGTACCCTGGATTCAAGTCGGGGTCACCCTGCTGGGTTAGGTTGGGTCCAGGTGCACTGTACCCCCCATGGCAGTGCAGTGGAGCATTTGTGGGATCCAAGGAATGGGGATCTATAGGGTTTCTGAGCCTCAACATGTCCAAAGCCAGAAGAGCTCCCTTCTCAAGATGGTTCTGGCTCCAGCATCCCAGGAGATACTGTGAGATCCCGTTCTAAAGCCAGAGCAATCTTGACTGAGCAGGTTTCCCATTCCTTACCTAGTGAGGCTGCCAGCCTGTGGGAACTGCACTGCCAGTGTCATTGGGACCCTCTGACCCTTGCCTCTGCAGGAGGGAGACTTCACCTCCCCATTCTCTGTGCTGCTGTCCCGGGCTGTGACTCTGGCCTATATCCAGTGTTCTACCATGGCCCTTGACCTCCACGTGCAGCTATGTGCCTGTCACTTTCGTTCTGTGTGGAGGAGGAGGGAGAGCCAAGCACCTCCATTCAGCTGTCTGGAAATCCTAACGGGTACTCTGATGGTTTGCACTGCTTCCTGCTTTCCACACTTTATACCTTAGGGTAAGAGGAGAAGCCTGCAGGCCAGTTTCTGTCCCATGGAGTTGGGCTCACATTTTTACCATTTTAAAAACACTGTTCACTTCCAGGTTCATACAGAGCAAGTGTGGGGTGGGGTCCTAGAATTAGAGCTGGAACAGAGAGAGAGGAAGAAACAGAGAGAAAATGGAACAGAGAGAGAATGGAATAGAGAGAGAAAGAGTGGGTCAAGCCAACGGTGACAGTCACACCCACCTGTCCTGTTCTTTTGTAGACATCTCTCAAGGAGGAGTCTGAAGCCGTCCCATGTGAACTGGAGATGAAATTACTAAGTGAGACCGTTTCAGAAGGTATTCTAAATTGCTTTTCCAGAATTAAGCTTTACTGAGATTTTCTTCTTACCAAAGTAATGTAGGGTCATTGTCAAAATAAAATTTCAGACATTACAGAAATACATTTAAAGTGAAAACTCTTCACGGTCCCTCCCTGAGGTGACCGGTGTCTACAGATTTACTTTCTACCTTTGGTTCAGTCTCATGACTTTTAGGAAGACCATGGCATGTCACAGAATGATTTGTTGAAACTGACTTTTCCACTTAGGGAACTTACATACATTGAGCACAATACATGGTCTAAACAAATGATTAATCTTCACCACGTTTTATGAGTTAAGGTCTTGTCCTACAGCTCAGGCTGGCCTAGAACTCACTAGTTAGTCCAGTCTCGTAAGCTCCTGCCCCAGCTTTCCAAGTACTAGGACTATAGCCATGTGCAACCATGCCAGCTAATATTCAACACTGTTCTAATAAACATATTGGTAACTTCACTTTTTAATGTAGCGGTATGATTCCATTCAATATCAAAGCATTAGTTAAATTCTCATTGGTGGTGAAGTTATTTCTAAGTTTTTATTTATATGCAATTTTGCAATGAAATTTTACGAGCAGACACACTATTGAGAATTTCTTGTACTTTTTAGTCTTTACAAATTCCGTAGCCAATCTTGTCTTAGAAAGTAGCAGTCGGATATCATAGAAGTGTGGTGACAATGATGTCAACATGCAAGTCTTTATCTTGAGATTCTATGCTTCTTTTCCAGTAACCTCTGAGGATCTGTTTCTGAGCATATTTTTTTTGCTGTTTTTATTAGCATATATTAATAGAATAAGGGGGATTCCCTATAAGTCCACAGATGTATACAGTGTACTTGTAACAAGTTCATGTGATAATAAACCTTGTGTCCACACTTTTCCTAACACACTTTTGACCCAGCTGTCACTGGGGCTTTTGTGACATTTTATAGCCCTGACCAGATAAGTTTCCTGCTAGATGTAAGACACTAGAGTCAGTTATTGAACCTCTGTCAGTAATAATACTCAACTCTTCTACATGGCCACCCCCAAATAACAGACATCATAACCATCTCAATTTGGACATGGTATTCTTTTTAAATAACATTTTGAAGATTGATTTAAGAAGGAAACCTGACATTTGTTGAGCATGAAGGCAGGCAAAAAGTATAACTTAAGAATGAGTAACATCAAAATAACAACTTCTTCACAACAATTGCTGGTGTTATCACATTCATCCATCCAACAAAAAGAATAGTTAATTCAGGAGGGTGATTGTGCTACTTCTTCACTGATGGCAAGTGACCTTAGTTATAATTCATCTGAGCATTTACTTACCATCCTTAAACCAGTGACAGGCAGACTGGCAGTAGCTGTTAGCACTCAGTTTCTCAGTTTTCCAGAGTACTCCTGAATAATTCTCAGGAACCAGAAGCGGTAAATGACCAGCGAGATTGCCAGTTTAGTAGCAGATACTAATCCCTGTGAGCCACAGCTTTTCTCCTGGAAAAAAAAACAACCCAAAAAAACCAAAAATGAGCTGTCTCTTTTGCAAATAGTCCTAAAATTAGTGACATGTCTGAGTGCAGTAGACACAGTTATTCTTCCTTGCTTTCTTTTCAGATGAACAAATTATTAATTTAATACATTTAAACATTAAAGAGTGCAATTTATTGCACACACAGGAAGGAAAGGCAGTTGTGGGATTTGACTTTCCTTTGGTTATTTCCATGGACTTTCAGAGCCTGAGCTCCATGGGTTAGTTTTGTGCCAGCCTTGTCACCTCTTTGTTTGTGACAGTTCCTGTGCTCCTACCATGCACCTGGCACCACTCTCTACACTGCCACCTCTTTCTTCCTCTGAATTCTATAGACAGGTACCACATTACACCCATTTTCTAGGTAAAGAAACTCAGACTAGAGCTGTTAATTCACGTATCTTAAATAAAAACTCCCTATCCAAGTATCAGACTTATTTCTTTTCCCTCCCAATACAAAACCGTGGTGATCTGTTTAGAAGCTGTATTGATCTGATTCACTTTAGCGCAGAAGTTCCTGATTGAGAACGCCACCGAAAAGCCCTACATCCTCGATGACACGGAGGTGGACTTGTGGCAGTTCACAACGCTGGGTGGGGTGTACCACCTGGATGTGTTGGAGCTGCCTCCGCTGTGCAAGCCAGTGAAGGGCTGGATGATCGTGGAAGTAGGTAAATCCCAACGTGAGCTCACGGGCACAGAAGCTTCTCACACTGCCACCTCACTTCCCATGGCTCAATCTAATGAACACATGAAGGAAAAAAATCCAATTTGAAACTCTCTTCAATTTAGTATATTAAAATTTTGAACCAGATACTAAAGGAATCTAAAACAAAATAGATTGTAAAACTAAAATTCCCAAATGCCAACTTAATTGTAAAGCCACGATATCAATGCTTGGAAGCTTGGCTCTGGCCTTGATAGTGACCACCTAGTTCAGAAGTTGGCAGATTTTTTTCTGAACAAGGCCCAATGGTGAATATTGTCAGCTTTGGGGGCCACACCAGCTCTGAGGAAGCCATTCAGCTGGGCTCTGGTGGCATTGAAACTGCTGTGTGTGAGTAAGTGAGGTTTGAATTCTAGTCGATCTGTACTTTCAGAAAATGATGGAAGGCTGTCCCAGGGACTGTGGCTGGTACCTGGTCTAGATCTGTGCTGCCAACAGGTGGCACCTTCAACAGAAGCATCAGCAGCCTTGGTATCACCTGGGAACTTGCTAGAAATGCAGTTTCATGAGCCCATATGCAGCTTAGTGAGTCACCAACTCTAAGGGCAGGCTGGGGATGTAGCTTGGTGGTAGAGCGCTTTCCTAGCATGGACGAGGCCCTGACTTCACAACCCAGGACTGCAAAAACAAAAGCCACCAAAACTCCAGAGTGAGGTGTTGGCACCCTGAAGTTTGGGGAACCCGGGTCTGAATCCTCACATGCAGAGTGTGGTCAGGCAGCACGAGCCTCTCCAGGACATAGGACAGGCACCATTGCCGGTGTGCACGTCAGTCTGAGAAGTGCTGGCCCTGGGATGCCAGTGCTACTGGTGCCCAGACCACACCTTGAGGGGTAAGGGTGCTGGTGATAGCTGGGGTCACGTCACCTTTTTGGAGGTCTACACTCCTGCTATGTAAGTAGCAAACCTTGAGCTAGAGTTGACTCGATTTGTTTTAACCTCATGCTGACTGGTGTCCCATAGTGTGCTACCATAGGATACCCAGTTATGTTGTCATAGAGACCGCTCCATCATCCCTTCCTTCCTTCCCCCACTATTTGTTTTTTGTTTTTTTTTTGGTAGGACTGGGGTTTGAACTCAGGTTGCAAAGCAGGTGCTCTACCACTTGAGCCTCACCTCCAGCGCCTCCCCCACTCCTCCCTGCCCTGCTCAGAAGGTTGTGGACACTATCTTTCTCTTTACCTTTGTCCCTTAGCAAAGTATCAGAATAGGTGACATGGAATCCCCCATTTGCTGTGAGTCCTGGTACCCTGAAGTCATTTTGTAACTTTTGGCAAGTCACCTCTAAGTCTGTTGCCTTCTCCACTAACTCTGGGCTCCTTAGGCTTGCTCTGGGAAATACAATGACAAAATGTGGCCCACGGAAAGTGACAAGACTCCACTCAAACTTAGTGACGCTTCTCTCCTCAGTCATTTACCTTTCAGTTTTGTGATATCATGTTAGATAAGGAGACCAAGCTGCAGTGCTTACTAAGTATTTTTCAGTAGTATTTGCACCTTTGTCTGTCCATGGTCACCATCTAACCTTGTCACCGTTTTGGTCATTTTAAAGTTACTCAAAGAAGGATTACAGAAATTTGCATACCCTCCAGAGACCACAGAAGACATGGAGGCAGAAAATGTGTTTCCTCCTATCGAGGTGTCTCTCAAGATTCACGACAACGTCGTCTTTTTTGAGGATCCTATGGTTGTGAGGTGGGATGATGAAGGTACAGCCATGCCCCAATCAGCTGTTACGGTAGTGTCACAAAGAGAGGGGTGGTGACACAAAGCCTTACATAAACTGAGTTTCTTACACGTCTCTATGCCAGTTCTGGAATCTTGGTTGAGAAATGTTTATTGCTAGGCAATGATTTTTACTTTTACAAATTGACTTTGTCCAGGTGTCAATAAGAAGAGGAATTAATAATAAGTTAATTTGTGAACACAGCTGTGAATGTAAGGGCATAAGCTAGCCAACAGTCCAGGTGAGAAGGGAAGGAAAGCCCGGTGGGAATGGGAGACCAAGGGGAAGAGAAAGGTGGCCTCAGCTGTCCTGTGCGTTTGCTAAGCTGCAGGGCGCAGAGATGAAGACTTGGCTCTTCCTCTGCAGGCTTTTGAAGCTGTGGGAGAGAAGACAGGAAAGTGGTACCTACAGTGTTGTAGGGACGGCAGGGACTGGCTCGTCTTCCCACAGGGTGGGACACTGCATAGGCCTCAGTGACGAAGGGGACATCTGTGTGCCAGTCTCTGTGTGGCCCTCTGTTTCCAGCTCTCTTGGGAGACACCTAGGGGTAGAACTGCTGGGTTTAGTGGTGCATTTATATTTAGGAATGCCAAACAGGTTTTCAAGGCAGCTGTGCCATTTTGCACGCCTGGCAGCGGGCACGAGTGTCCTGTGTCTCCACGCTCTCGCTAACATGTGTTACTGGCCTTTCTAGTCGTGGGAAATATGCAAGGTGACAGTGTGGCATGGTTTTAATCGGTATTTCCCTAATGGCTAATAAAGTTGAGCATTTTCTTATGCAGTCCTAGCCTTCCACATATGTTTGGTGAAATGCTGGTCCAGATCGTTTTCTTCTTCTCAATTGAGCTTTGTTTCATTGTTGAACTGCAAGAGACGGAAGAGACCATGGCCTGTCATAGGCCTGCACTCATATGACAGGTCTAGAATAGCAAGTCTGAGAGGCGGAGGTGACTCGAGGTTGGTGGAGGAGTGGGACTCAGGTGGCCTGCGTTTGCCAGAGTCTGAACTCTCCCAGTGCAGTTGGTTTTTTGTTGAGATTCTGTTTTTTCTCAAACATTGCACCTTCCTTCCATCCCACCCATCGGGAGCCTCGCCCGTAGCACCCCATCCACCTGAGATCCTGTCTTTACGGCATTACTTACATGGTTCATTCGTCTCAGTTTTTATAGGAAAAAATGAAACCAATGTCACTTTCTTCGTTTATTACAAAGGCAAGCGGTGGCGAAGCAATGGCATTGCCAACGTGTATTACAGACCAGAGGAGAGAATTGTCACGTTCAACCTGGAGGCATTTGGCCCCGTGACCTTGATTCAAGACACTCATATTAACATGCCTTACCAGTCCTGGGAGCTGAGGCCACTCGATGTAAACAGAGTGCTTCTGACGGTGACCACAGTGTTCACTGAGCTTCAAATACAAATTAAGGTGTGCTGCTGCTACAGCGAGTCTGTGGCCATACATACAGGTTGTCAAAATAATCAGTGAGTTACACATTAAATATGCCTTTTGTAACGATGTGCAAAATGTGCCTTGAGCTACAATTTCTAAAGAAGGTGTAAGTTGAATGGAGAGGCAGAAACACAGAAGAAGTGTGTTGAACATTTATACCATAAGTTGCTTGGCCAAGTAACAGATGACAAAGCCTGGCATGGAGTGAAATTCAGGTTTTAATCTCCACTAAGCAGGGTCTCCATCATTATAATCTGAGCATTTGAAACCTTCTTTGAGGTTGGTCTCTCTGAATGAGACTCTTTCACTAGTCAGAAACTAGATAATCTGAAATTTATAGCAAAAATGTGGATTGGTGGTTGCTGGGGACAACTGATTGAGGGTGACAGTTGTGCCAGTTAATAAAGTTCCTAAAAGTCATTGGATTGTATGTGCAAAACAGGTGAATTTTACGACCTGCAAAATACATCTCACTGGAAGTTGTTTTTAAAAAGGATTCCTGGGCTGGGATGTAGCTTGGTGGTACAGCGCTTGCCTAGCATGCGTGAGGCCCTGGGTTTGATACCAGCACCAAAAAAGAAAAGACTAAATAAATAAATAAATAAAAAATAAAAAGGATTCCCAAAAGCCTGGAAGTCCAGGCGAAGCACAGGAAGACAGGAAGGCTAGCAAACTTTGCTTTTAGGACCACATGGGGACGGGCGATAGTGCAGGATCACCTGTGGTGGGAGCCCTCACATTTTACAGAGGAAAACTGAGGCCCACAGTGGCTAGGAGGCTAAGTGGCCTTCCCAAAATTGTCACCCAATTGGTGCCACTTTCCCTACTCCATCCCAGCTGCCCAAAGACCCCCCCAGGACTCTTGCTCCAGTCCACTGGGAAGAGACACCACCTTCAGTGATCATATGTCAGTCCAGGTTCCCACCTGGACATTGTAGAGCCTGCATTTCAGGTTGGATTTCAAAGGGACATCAGCACCATCTGACACTATGGGTATGAGCCACATGTGGCCAACAAGCTCCTGAAAAGTGACTAGTCCAGGCACCATGTGCTATGTACAAAAAATGTAAATTGCCTCAGTGTTCATGCTGATTGTGTCTTGGGCTAGGTAGAATGTTTTAAAAACACAGATGGGAGACATGAGCTCTTGCACAGTTTCACATGGCCACTTTGCCAAACTTTGAAACTGGGCAGTTCTGCATCGTTCTGTTAAGTCTCCATGTTTTAAAGATAAAGAATGCCTCAAAGTGCCGTCACGATGGTTGTACAGCTGTGTTAACTCAGTGTGAACACACCCAGTATTCTTAGATCATAGCTTATAAAATCCATCTTCAGTTCTGTCCTGCAGTTACTCAGGTGAAGCCCAAAAGGAGTCCACAGCGTCAAGCAACAGGGACCCGGTGGGACAGTTCAGATGAGTCCTAGACACTCTGCCCTGCGTCTTTTTAACACAGAGTGATGGGTGATATGGAAAGTAGTCTGAAGGCCATGAGGTTGAGCTGGAATAATTCAGCTTTAGACGAAAGCTTCTTTTTCTTACTTAAACTTAGGAAAACCTCTGTATGTTGGCTTCAATCAAACTAAAAACCCAAGAGCACATCTCTGCTTTGGAGGGAAAATGGATGGCCCCCATTCCCTTCATCATTGCTTTGAAGAAAGCTGGGCTGAATGTCTTCCCTACGGGACACTCACACTTTTACGTCATCACCAACAACAAGGCAAGAATGGATCTGTGCGGACTTTCTGTAGGGGGCACCTAGAGTGTTGGCAAGTATTAAACTTTATGCCTGAAGGTGCACCATGTGTTTATACATTTCAGTATGCAGATTATAGTTAGGAAGGAGGGAAGGAATAAGGGAAAAGACCAGAAACCCAGGGTTGTCTCCGGATGAGTGGTCTTCCTCGAGAGTTTAGCTTGGGCTGTGGCCACCACACTCACCAATGGCTCACCGGGTGGTCAACGCCCTGTCTCCCAAGCTGCTCCTTTACATAACTTCCTCCCTCTTCCATGACCGGAAGCTTCTTTTGTTGTTTTTTTTAAATTTACTTATTCACATGTGCATACATTGCTTGGGCCATTTCTCCTCTGTAAGCTTTCTTAAAATAAGTAATTTTGCACTCTCTCAAGTTTTGTCGGGCAAAATTAACACAAGGACCACCAAAGTGCAAAAGCCACTTCCTTTGTTTTTTGGCCAAGCCTCCATGTTTGGATGTGGCCTCCAGTGACTCCAGACTTTATGCGAGATCCTTCCATGTGGAGGACAGGGTCTGGTCCTTAAGTCCTCTGTGATTGTTCTCGAACCCAGCACACAGATGCTTAGTGAACAATGGTGATCCTGAACGAATTGTCAAAGCGCCTCTGCTCACAAAAGTGTCCTTGTAGACTGAAGAGCTCTGTACTCAAGAACTTGGTGCTGAGGGTGACTCAAGTGGCAGAGTGCCCGCCAGCAAGGCCGAGGCCCTGGGTTTAATGGCAGTACCAAACAAAAGCGTGTTTATGAATGCAGAAGATGACAAAGTGACAAGGCACAAAGGACCAATGTCAAATTCCCTCATGCAATCTTTGCCAGTAATCCTACAGCTAAGGGTATGTGCGCACACACAGGTAGCAACAGCTGGCCTTTAGTGACTCAGATTGCCAGTGCTGAATGTCGTGTCCTGTTCACGTTTTCAGGTGTACAATGGTGGTTTTCCGAACACCGACACACTAGGCACTGTTTTAGATGCTTAGGATCCATCAGTGGATGGATTCTAATAGCAGGAAACAAAGTAATTGAGATGACCTTGAGCACTGAAAAAGTGAAAGGCTGTGGAAAGGGGCAGCAGCTGAGGAGTTGTGGGCCGAGCAGTGCACAGCGTTAATTGGGGGTTGAGGGGACTCCATGAGAAGGTGAGGCTCGAGGATTTAGCCATACGTGTGTCTAGGTAGTGGGAACAGGTGGGGCAGGAGCCTGGGGGAGCAGCCTGAGAACAGGCGAGGAGGCCAAGGAGCCTGGAACTGAGGAGAGATGGCCAAGAGGTGACGGGGAACATGCAGCAGGAGACATGTGGCGGGGGCAGAGCACTGGGGCTTTGCAATCATCACCACCTGAGATTCTACACAGAGGCAGGGAGAGCCATTGCCCAGCACTGATAGAAGGTCACATGACGTGACTGAGAACTTGGGCTGTGTCGTCCCATGTTGAGAATGGACTACAGGAGGGGAAGATGGAGGGGAGCCAGCTCGGGAGGCTCTGGGTCCAGCCTGCTTGCTTTCATATGACAGGTTCCCTTGGTAGAGATGAAAGCTTACCGACAAATGGCCCTGCTGAGCTCCGCCTTTGCCTTTGGTTGGAGCAAGTGGAATGCAGTGTGTAATTCTACGAAAGTTATATTTAAGGTACAGTATGCAGAAACCATAGAACTCCTTTGTCTTCCACAAAAGGTAGAGGACTAAGAACCAGATGCACGCACACCAGGGCTTTTCCTCTTTAGAAGGCAAAAGGAACACAACATTCAAAACGTTTTCATCTTGTCAAAAATACATGCACAAACCATGTAATAGGGCCTCCGTGCTCTCCCTTGTGACATCACGTGCTTGTCCTGTAGGGGGCGCTCTTCCCCCTCTTTACTTGGAATCAGGGAGAGATGGAGCCTTTAACAGGAGTCTGGATGATCGATCCACAGACCCCAACAGAACTACTGACACATTTACTGTTGCCTGATAGAAAAAGTATCAAGGTCTAAAAATGGACTAATTTTTTTTTCCATGCTGGGGATCAAATCCAGGGCCTCACACATGCTAGGCACGTGCTCTGCCATCAAGTGACAACTGATGAATATTTTGGCATACCTGAGCCACCACATTTATCTTCTAGCTTCCCCTACTCGAATTTAAGCCTTTTGAGAATAGGGCTTGTTTGTTGCAGTTATTTGTTAATATATTTGGGTGTTTTTATTTTGTTTGTTTTTCTGTTTAACTGTTATATCCCTAGCACCTAGATTGGTACCTGACACATCATAGGCACTCAGAAGATATTTCTTGCATGAATCAGTACTTGTGGGTGTGCTCCAAAAAGTTTCATGGTTTCAAATTGATTCAATAATGGTACATTACGAACATTTCAGCTAAGCACCAGTGGCTCACACCTGTAATCCTAGCTACTTGGGAGGCTGAGATTGGGGGATCCTGATTTGAGGCCAGCCTAGACAAATAGTTTGTGAGACCCCTTCTCAACCAATAGCTGTGGCAAGTACCTATCATCCAAACTACATGGGAAGCATATGTAGGAAGATCACAGTCCAGGCCAGTCGGGCAAAGAGGGACTGTCTCCAAAACAACAGAAAAAGGGGCTGGGAGCATGACCTCAGTCTTGCAAGTGCAAAGCCCTGAGTTCAAACCCCTGTACCTCCAAAAAAAGAATGTTTCTTTGATTTTGGTAGTGCAGGGGATTGAGGTGAGTCCTTCAGCTAATACTCAGCAGGAGAGGACTTGATAAGGGTTTTCCTAATTCCCTTCTCTGTAGGTGAAGGAGCAGCTGACTGAGGAGCCTGCCACCCCTGACTGGGTCCTTTTGATGTTCAGTGGTGACAGAGCACAGAGTCTCAAGATAAGCGAAGAGAGCGAGGTGTTCTCTGAGTCAGTGAAAGAAGAAACCCAGTTCCACTCCACCCTGTATCACATGGTGAAGGAGTTTGCTTCTGAGGAAGCCATGGAGAGGACTAGGGGCGCTGCCTGCCAGTTCGTGGACTCCGTGTGTTACATGCTACTGTCAACCAGGGTGCTGAGCTATTCCTGACCCCAGTGTGCTGGGGAAGCAGGTATTTCTCCACGCGTAATGAGGGAACACGTCCAAACAGGCTATTAAAATGATCTAGGAGCATCTTCTAGTCACATTGTACTTTGAGCAAAGTGGATTTTTTTTCTTTGAATATTTGCCCTATTGAGAATTTCAGCTTCCACTCTGTGAAGATTTGAATGGTTCTTTATTTAGATAAGTTTTAGAAAAACAATCTATTTCTTTCTCTCAAAGCTCTTTTAAAATGTCACAGGCAGGTCTGCCTCCCATGTATTTTACTTGGGAAAAAAGGAGGGATGTACAATATTTTATACTTCCGAGAACTTCCCAGTTAGAAATTGTTGAGTTTAACACCAGGACCCATGTGCCAGGCTGTGCTGCAGTCACACTGGCGGTGGCCCATTGTGCTGAAGCCTGGTTAATGGCCACAGGATGTGTTCTAGAGATACCCATGAGTCCCCGTCCTGTGTGGGGGTGGCCTCCACAGACTTCTGGAAGCACCAGCCAGTGAGGAAGCTGCCCAGGGCTGCTAACAGCACCAGGAAGGCCACCGGAAACCAGAGCGCCTTGTTGGCATTTGTAACAGAAGTCTGGACACCTGCTGCCCAGGAGGCCACCATGGCAGAACTGTAAGGACACAAACAGAATTTGGCAATCACTGTGTTTGCTACTAGAAACATTCCCTGTGACAGCACCAATCCTGTCACTGATGTGCCTGCATTCCCCTACCTCTGCCTGATGAGCTAGAGGCAGATCTGCCTCCTGTCCCTTCCACAGAAATGATGTGCTCTGCAGAGACCCTGAAAATGGTGTGATTTAGACATTAACTCCTAACAAGTCCACATAGAATTTATGCCATTCAGTGAAGCCTACAGTGGAACACTGTGGTAGGATTGCTTGGTAGAGCAGGGTATGTGTGTATACGCCTATGTGGGTTCGTGTACATATAACTTGCCCCTGTACCTCTGCTGTGCTCAAATTTAAACTATTTCCTTTAGAAACACCCATGTGAGGGCAGGCCTGGTGGCTCAGCCTGCAATCCCAGCTACGAGGGAGGCATGGATAGAAGGATCATGGACTGAGGCCAGCCCTAGGCAAAAGCAAGACCCTGTCTGAAAAATAGCCTAAAGCAAAAAGGGCTGGGTACATGGCTCAAGTGGTAGAGCATCTGCCTAGCAAGTGTGAGGCCCTGAGTTCAAACCTCACTACTGCTCCCTGTACCAGAAACCAGAAAGTATTTCAGCTTCCCTAGGTGCTATCCTAAGCATTTAGTCATGGTGACAGTGCAAGGACACAATACTACTGTCATCTCTCTCTTCTGGACAGAGGTTTAGGCCCCGGGCACGCGCAGAGCTGGGGGTGGCCAAGGCTGTCTGGGTTCTGGGCAAGGCCCTAACCTGTACACTTCCCTTCCTCTCGGGAGGCAGGTCCCAGCTCACACTGTAAGGGGCTGCGCAGAGTTCATTCATGATCATCTTAACATGTCCTTGGAGTAATTTGATCAGTACTGCTACCTCTGTGCTACCCTTTCTGCTAAGATGGTGTCATTTGCCAAGTAGACAGCTTACAGTGAAGAGGCGTCCTGTGGTGACAGATTGTTTCTCTTTTCAGAAAGACTCGGCTTCCTTGTCCTTTCTATGATTTCTTCTCCAGGAGGTTCTGCATCGCCTTTAGTTCTGAAAATAAGTAAAGTAATGATACTGCGCTATAATTATTTATAAGATATGGCTAAGTTTTACTAAATCACAAAGAGCTCAAGAATATTTATTTTGCTTGACAAAATTTGATAAAAGTTATATCACCAGATTTATAGGATTTTAACTTAAAATAACTTCCTCTATGTAAAAAGTTGGAATATTAGCCAAAGATGCACAAAAGGGGAAACTTACAGAAAATATACAGAAGTCAGCCCCCCACTTGTGATTAACCAATATCATCACTCTGATTTTCCCTGCATATATGTGAATATTTAATATAGTTTCAAAATATAGTAAAATTTTTTTCTCATTGAATATTTTTGACTCATACTGTTTTCAGTATCCTGTATTAACAGTTGATTTTCTCTGTAGAATTTTTGACCAATGCTAACTTGGAATAAAATCCTAATTTTAAAAGTTGATGAAAATATTTTAATGTTAAGCTTGTTGAAATAGACTAGTATTCAGTGCAGCGGGAATAGCATTAGGTGAACTGTGTTTCAAATGCTAAAACCAAGCTCCTGTCTCACTGTCATATTAACTGGTGATCTTGGTTAGATTTGAACTTTGAAATCCCAGGCTCCTAACACCCTCACCATTGCCAAAGGGAACTGTGCTTCTAACATCTGCTGTGAATATTTGATTTACTCTTTTTCTTTGGTGGGACTGGGGTTTGAACTCAGGACTTCACTCTTGCAAGACACGTGCTCTACCACTTGAGCCACACCTCCAGTCCTAGTTTACTTTTAAACACAACATTTTTTAAGCTGTTCAGTCTTCTGCTTACAAAGGCTTCTCCTGTAAAGATCATACTATCAGCAAAAAGTAGACAATAATCCTTTGAAGGAACCACTTGATTTTTCCCACCCCAGCTCAGAAAATAGTCATTATGGTTTGCAGCATATGCGTGGGGCTCCCAGGATGAAGACTCCTTGATGTCTTCTTGTCTTTCTGTCCCTTAGAACTGAGCATAGTGACTATGATGTAGTCACTCAATGTACATGTGTACAATGACCAGAAAATCACTTCATGAAGATCCGATTTAACAGATGACAAACCAGGAGGCAGTATTTGCCCAGGTCCTCCTGTCTTGCCCTTGGTCTTTCACTATAGACTGTAACAGTATTATTTTAGTTTGCTAGGTGTAGACACAATTTAAACACAATGATGTAATACACACATTACATGTACATATCTGTTCTATGCATGTTTTATGTTCTATGGCCCTTTATTGACTTTTGTCCCCATTGGCAACACCGAGGCCGGGGGTAAATCATTATCTTTACAAAATCTGCCATATTCTGGGGACCTATCTAGCGTAAGACCACAGCCCTTACCATCATGAGTGCTGCAGGAGCGAATGCACTCGAAGACACGTGGACAGAGCATTTTGTCATTTGTAAGTCTTTATCGGGGAGTTAGAGCAACCCCACTGTCATTCCCGTCCCACGCCCCTTAGACATGAACCAGGCTTCACCTACTTCAGCTCTCCTTTCTCATCTTCAGCATCTGTCCAGGAATAGGTGCTGATGAATCGGTGTAATGATGGACGATGCTCATTGTGCCTTGACCCCAGTACACGCCTGACCAAGATCAAATAGACCTGACATCAGTTTATGTCCTACTGCTTAGATTGGTACAAAATTACCTTTTCTATTTTTCTCTTGGTACACTCACATAAGTTATTTCCTGATTAATAATCATAAATATATATGTATTCTGTTTATATACTTTGAACAAATCAAAAGCTGCTATGTCATTTATTTCAAATATCCACTGACTTTAGCTGAATTATAAAATTATACTCACCAACTGCTCGATCTCCTGTTTAACCTGGCGTTATCATCCAGCCCAGTCACCTTTGGAAGGTGAGATGTTAAACAAATGATGAGTGTGCACTTAATGAAGTAAGTTTAGATTTTTGTCATATGAAAATGCATTTATTTGAACAAGAACACTTAGGAATTTGCTTACCATCGCTGCACTTCCAAGATTTCTGGGTAAAGAAGCAATGGTCACTCTTCGAAGAGAAGATGGCTACCCAAAGGTGAAAAAGCACATTTAGAAAATTTTCAATACATATGACATTGAGAACCACACACCTAACCACTGCTGAGTTAAACCAGCAGGCAAGACTTAACAGGGCCTTTCATAGGTAACTTGCCTTTCTGGAATATTTTACCAACTTACATTCCACTCTCCTCAAGTCACATTATTATAACTTTGCCAGTGAAAGTGTCTTGTTTCAATTACTTGACTTCTAGTAGCATTGACTGTCGTCTTCTCTGTTGAATAGCTGTAGAAATCCACACTGAAAGCCAGTGCTGTGCTGATGACCCTCCTCCACATTTGTCTTTTATGAAAAAAGTTGTTTTCGTTGTTAACCCAGCCAAATGAGTTCTTCTTTCTCTTGCTATCATTGTTTTTATGCTTTTGGGGGCTAAATATGCACCTACCTTTATAGATCTTTTTCCAGTTACCACATTTAATATTTCATGATTTAACTGATACATAGAAACAAAAATTGTACATATTAATGGGGCAAGGTGCTGATTTAATCCATGTATATATCGTGTAATGTTTAAATCAGGTTAACCTTTGATCTCCTCAAACATTTATCGTGAAAACATTTACAGTTTTCCGAAATGTGCAGTGTGTTGTCGTACATAACCATGTGCAGCAGCACATGAGAACTCTCTCTCCCTGTCTCACTGTAATTTAGCACCCGTCCACCATCCTCTCCCCATCTCTCCGTCTCCTCTTCTCCCCCTCCTCATCTCCCCAGCCTCTGGAAACCACCATTCCACTCTCCTCTATGAAATCAGCTTTTTAAAAGTCTACATGTGAATGAGATGTTATTTTAATGAATGGATGTGTTTATCAGCCTTGAGATTTGTACAGGAAAGTGTTATGTAGCGTTTATGTGGTTTAAATAAGTCTAACTGAAGGTTATAAAAGTAGTTTTGATGTAGTAAACTAAAGGAATTTTGTGTGACTCCTTTCCTTAAACCATCATCCTTAATTTAGTTTGAGGTTGGTTGAGCATCTCAAACCATCGAACTGAAGTTTGAAAAGCCTGGTTTCTAATCATGGTTCTTCCACTACCTGATCATATGAGTCCTTTCACTCCTGTGAGAGAGAGATGGTGATGGGGTGGTTTCCAAGTCACTTCTCAAGACCCCTGTCACCCTGTGGACTTTGGGTTTTCTGGGTCATCCCAACCCCCTTCTAACTCAGCAGTACACCCTTGACTTTTCATTAGGAGTTAAGTATCCAGAACAAAAACTATTTGTAGTCTCATTTTCTGCTAAGGATGAAAAGGGAACGCAGCACTGGACTTCTGGGAAGTGTCCAAGGGAGGGGAAACTTGACTTTGTTTCTGACATCTTGACTTCTTGCAATGTGACTTGACATTGACAGGGCCTTGTATCTGGATCTGAAGCAATGGTCTAGGACCAGGAGGAGGGCCAAGGGCTGAAGAGGGCCATGAACAACAGCCAAGAGGAGAGCTGTTTCAGCTCTGGTTTCCTTAGCAGAGAACCCTCTCGCCATGCTGGTTTGTCACACTACCAGCAAACTTGACTGACACGTGAATAGAGCAGGAGAAACAACTACAGAAACACACAGATGCTCATACCTGTGAATTAAAATAGGTTTTGCCATCCACATTTAAAGACACGTCACTTCTAATCATATAAGTAAGCATCTCAAGTTACCTTAGAGTTCAGAGAAGCCGAACGTTTTTTAATCTGGCAGTTATCTGGAAGGAAAAAGATTTGCACATTTTAGAAATCACACATGATTTATGTTAAAGCAGAGGTTGGAAAAGCCATATTCAAGATTTTGGAGACTGCAGAGCAATTCATGTATCTGCTTATCCTTGATTTGGTGAGTCACAACTCTTATCTAATGATGGGCTACAGTCTTCCCTGTCACAGCAGATGTCCCAGGTGCTACCAGCATGTGTAGGCATGGAATGGCTGTCTGCTGAGCAAAGCAGTCCCCAAGTAGAGTATAGAAGAGTGTCAACGATGGGAAGACAGCCAAAACCTGACTTCTGCTCAGAAAGGTTCATACTGCTTATTTAAATCTAACCGTGGTAAGATCTAAGAAACCACATGCTAAGGAAGCCATGGTCTCATCTGTCTCCGTTTGTCCATCAGCTTATGGTGTGCCGGTGTCAGTCATTCCTTCTTTCAGGACTTCAAAGCCACTGCTGAGGAGAGTGGCTCACTTAGGTCATTGTGCATTATTTTGCATGTGGAAAAAGAAGCAGTTCTAACATATCCCAAGTAGGCCAGCCCTGGGGTCCTACAATTGGTTTCATTAATACAACGCCTCCTCTCAGCAATCAAAATCCAGTCAATGGATTTTTGGTGTCATCACCAAAGAACCTTCACGTCTTCCAGTCTTTTCTATCCCCTTACTTTTGGTTAGCTAAAAAACAGGAATGAGTTCTTTTTCTAATGTAACATTAGCCTAAGGGTCTTGTTAAATGTTTTTAGAGGATGATGGGGAGAGAAGAACATTAGGAAGACACAGCTAATCCATTATCTTAAGTCTTCATTACCTTCGTCTTCGAGAGGGTTGAAAGACCTCTCGTTTTGCAAGAGAACCTGCTTCAGCTCTTCCAGCTCGGCGTGCTCTTTGGCATACATCCTCTTCAGGTTTTCCACATGCTGAGTCATCACTTCCACTGCTTTACTGACCCGGCTCTCCTTGGGGGAGAAATAGCCAGATTTACATGGAAAATCCCACTCTCCACGCTCAGGAAAAAGGTGCAGGGAAGCATGCATTTACCTTTGCTCCATCCCTACATCCAACCCAATGTCTACAGGTATTCACCCCATCTACCTCACTCTTCCTTATCCAAACCGCTTCTCCCCACTCTTTTTTTTTTAAAACAATTTCTGATGAATTGCATTATATGCATGCTGTAACTGTCACAATGAATACCCTTTGTACAATTAACTTACGTGCAAATATAAATTTTTTAAGACATCAGTCTACAAGGACAAACAGAACAGAAGAGTTTACAAGAGCAACAAGATTTTAAAAGTGGCAAAAAAAAGGATTTATGGTAAGTAATTAAGACCTAGAAAAGCTGAAACCTTAAAGAGGTAGAAAGAAAAGCCAACAAGCAACCTAGATTGTACCACAGAAAGCCACAAATGCTGAGGAATTAGTGGCACCTCTGGAAGTAAGCTGGAAGGTGGTGCATGAACACAGAAAAGGCTGGGAGTCCGTGAGAAGCGGTTAGAGTCAAGATAACTACTGGAGTCAGCCAGCAGAGCCTCTTCTGTGAACCATTTTGGTGAAAGACTAAAAGGCTGAATAGCTATAGGGGAGATAGAGATTCTGTCGATTGGGATCACACAAAGTTGGTGGTGAAAACAGCAGATTGAAGCAAAATGCCTGTATACCTATTACGTGTGGGCACCTCTCTACCTTATTCCTCCTTTCAGCTGTCAAGCACTGGCCACCAGGATTAGTACCATCAAGGAAGGCAGCTGGAAGACTGTTCCCTGAGGAATGTGACCCTTCCAGATGAAAGTCTGGTAGGTACTGACGTTAGGAGCCAAGATGAAACAACCTGCCTTACGTGATGCTCAGTCAACAGGAGCTTTCCCCATTCATCACTCACACAACTCCAGGTCAGCTTAACAGTGGAACAGCTATCCTGAGGGCTTGCTCCAGCAAGAAATAAAATAAGGAAACTAAAACACAGAGAAATACAGGAGGAAAAGCCCAGAAAACTGAAACTTCAAGGAAATCATCAGTGTCTTCAGAGAGTAAAAAATAACTGTTACACTCATGATATAAGAAGAACATATTATTTAAGAAAACACATTCTATTAAATAAGAGCTGCTGGAAATTAAAAATATGAAAACCACAACTTAGAAGAGAAGTTTGAAGATAAAGCTAAGGAAATCTCCCCAGGAAGACTCCACAGGAGATCAAGTCTGAGAGTAGGGGACAGAGGACTCTGATTTTAAGCTATTGTAAGGCTTTGGTCCTTACTCTGAGTAAAGTGAGGAGCCACTGGAGGGCTCTGAAAACACTGTTGGGAGGAAGGATTGGGATTGGAAAGGAGTAGGCAGCATTTAGGAAGTCATTGTACTTTGCTGAAGAAAGAGAATGGCGGCTTAGGTCAAGGTGGGAGCTATCAAGGGGGTTGAATTCTATGCTCTGATGGTGGAGTCTAGAGGATTTTCTCTAGGACTGGGTGTAGGATGAGAGATAAAGGTGTTGGTAATTACCCTCTCAAGAGGGTTTGCCCTTGACTGAGGTTAGGAGACCATAGGTTAGAGGCAGGGATTGAAAAGCCCATGGGTGGTTTAGTTTTGGGTAGGTTAAGTATAACTTGTGTACCAAACAAAGTATCCCTAAAAACTTATTCCTAGAAACGTAGCCCACAATTTCAGGGAAAATAAGTCCTTCTAGTAATTTCACTGTAGCTAGAGAAATAAAATTTAAAAAGTTACCTGATTAATGGCTCCCAACATCTCAGCCCTACTGGCCACTCGTGCTGTGCACTGGCTGAGAAAACTGATGCTCTTCTCCAGCTTCTTAATGATCTCCTGAGCCTGGTTGTCATCTTCACACAGAGGTGTCAACGACTGCACAGAGAGCGAAGTGTTAATGACACCCAACACAGTCATTCAGTGAGAGAGGACACTTGCTCAGCACATGCGATCTCAGTTATCTTGGTGGAGGGTGAGTGATGTCAAAATAGTAATATCTTGTTGACTAGCAGGTGTATATTGCAGGTGTCACAACACCTTTTAGGACTCTTCTTGTACTTCCTTTTGTACTTCTCAAATGCTCCACTCCCTCAGGTGCATTCAGGTACATTGAACCATCCTTGTTCTGAGGTCCCCATAACCTTGATACTAAAGCTGGACAAAGATATTAAAACTGCAGATCAGTGGCACTGATGGATACTGATGTGAACATCCTTGACAAAGTCCTATCAAGCTGAATTCAGTAGCATTCTAAAAGGATCATGTACCACAACCACATGGGATTTATTGCTGGAATGCAAGGATGGTTCAATGTATGAAACCCAATCAATGTAATGTAGACCATGTTAACAGAAAGGACAAAACCTATGACTTTTTCAGATTACTCAGAAAAAGCATCTGACAAGATTTAATACTTTCATGATTTTAAAAAACACTAAAACAAACTAGGAAAAGTCATGTATGTAAACCTGCTCGTGACAGAAGACAAAGCTTTTTCTCTAAGATAGGGACAAGGCAAGGACTCCTGCTCTCACCACTTCAACTCAACCTGTTAGAACACTCGGTCTGTAGCCAGAACAATTATGCAGGGAACAGAATCTTAATTAGAAAGTAAGAGGTAAAAATATCTGTTCACAGAGGCATGATCTTATGTGTCATAAAGATTGAGCATTCCACAAAAATTGTCAGAATAAATTCAGCAAAATTGCAAGATACAAAATTAACGCAAAAAATCAGATGTATTTCAATATACTAACAATTTCCAAAAATAAATTTTAAAAATTCCATTTATAGTAGCATCACATAGAATATAATACTTAGAAATAAACCTAACCAAGGAGGTAGAAGACTTAATACGATGACTTGAATAAATGGAAGGTTATCCTGTGCTCATAGATTGGTAGACCTAATTTTGTTAAAATGTTCATATTACCCCCAAACAATCTACAGATGCAAGGCAAGTTTATCAAAATCCCAACAGATGAAATAGGGACATGTGGGGTTGGTGGTGCAGTCGAGAGGTAGAACATGTGCTTAGCGCATGTAAGATTCTGGGTTCAGTCCCCAGCACCAAAAAAAAATTAAAAAGAAAAGTCACATAGTATATTAAGGGTCCCTGGATAACCAAAACAATTTAGAAAAAGAACAAAGTTGGGGGACTTGTCCTTCCTGGTTTTAAAATACATTTCACACTTAACAATAATTCAATAGCATGATGCTGGCATGAAAACAGACATACAGCCTAGTGGAACAGAATAGAGAGCCCAGAAATAACTCTTCGGGAAGTGGGCCAATGATCATTCAACAGGGAACAAGAGTGTGCAATGCGCAAGGAGGTCTCTTCAGCAAGTGGTGCTGGGAAAAGTGGATGTCCACATGCAAAAGTGTGAAATTGAACCCTTATCTCATATCACATACAAAAACTAACTCAAAATGGATTAAGGACCTAAAAGGAAGACCCAGAGCTAGAAAATGCCTGGAAGAAACCATGGGTGAAAACCTCCATGACACCAAATTTGATGATAATTTTTTGGTTAACACACAAAAAGCATTGTCAATAAAAGGGACTACATTGAAAGAAAGTTGTGTGAATCACAGACCCAACCAACAGACTGAAAAAACCAACTACTGAGTGGGAGAAAACGTACAAAGTCCTAACTGCAAAAGGATGAGTACCCAAAATACATAAAGAACTCCTACAAGTCAATGAGACAAAGAATCCACATAACTTGATTTAAAAATGGACAAAGGGTGCTGGAGCTGTGGCTCAAGCAGTAGAGCACCTGCTTTGCACGCAATAACCCCCGAGTGCAAACCCTAGCCCCCTACCCTCCCCAAAATGTACAAAGGACTTGAGTAATAGTTTTCCCAAAGATATTCAAATGGCAGAGTATATGAAAAGATATCACTGTTCAGACATATGCAAATCAAAATACCACAAACCACCACCATGCACCCATGAGAAGAGCTGTTATTAAAACAAACAGAGAATGACTTGGAGAAGCTGATGATGGCACCACAGAGCGAAGCGGGCATGTGGTGAGCTTGCAGATGAAAGTAAAGTGGCCGTCTGACCCAGCACATCCACTTCCAGAAATGCACCCTCAAGAACTGAAGGCAGGGTCAGGAAGAGACACTTACCTTCTTTTCAATTACTCCCTTGCAGCTTATAACCATTAATAGCTGATTTGGGTTTTAAATACAGATTATGGCTACCTTTTCCTTTTTCCAGGAAAGTTCACTTTAAAAATATATGAGGAGAAAAAAGGCCCTTTTAAGGATTTCCACGCTTTATTATTAGTGCACATAAATTTACATCGTAAGGGTTTCATTTCCGCATTTCCAAATACGCCTCTAAGGTACTCCCCTCAATTTCTCTTCCCCCTCCTTCCACTCTGGCTTCCCTTCCCATGTCCCTAGGAATCCCCTCCCTTTCACTTCCATGACCTTGGTGTGTTTTCCCCCCCTAGTTTCCACAAATGAAAGGAAGAAAACACGTGATTTTTGTCCTGTGGACTGGCTTATTTCACTGAACATGATAATCTCCAGTTCCAGCCATCCAGAAAATGACAGAATTTTTTTTATGGCCCTGGGGTTTGAACTCAGCGCCTCGCACTTGCTAAGCAGGTGCTCTACCACTTGAGCCACTCCTCCAGCCCTGTTTTTGTTTAGTTATGTGTTGGAGAGGGTCTCATACTTTTTCCCCAGGGCTGGCCTTGGACCATGATCCTAGTACCTATGCCTGGATTACCACCACACCCTGCTTGTTGCTTGAAATTGGGTCTCGCTTTTTGCCTGGACTGGCCTTTTGAACCATGATCCTCCTGATTACTGCCTCCTGAGTGGCTGGGATTACAGGTGCACACCACCACACCCAGGAATAATATCATCCTTGAAGAAATAGGTGTACATTGTGTTTATAGCAACTCTGTTCAAAATAGGCAAGAGAAGGACACAACCATTGATGGCTGAATAGATAAGCAAGATGTAGTATATAGGCACAGTGGAGTATTACTCAGCCTTGAAAACAGGTAGTACCATATGTGCTATAACACAGATAAGCCTTCAGGACATTATGTTAAGGGGCTTGCAAGAGTGCAAGTGTCATAGACTCCAACTGTCCTCACGTCTAAGGCAGTGAAATTCAAAGGAACAGTAGAAGGGTAGTTACCGGGGCTGGGATAAACCGGGGAACGAGAGAAAGTGGGTGTGGTGGTTCAGGTTTGGAAGCTCAGTGTTCAGGAGACACGTTTTGCAATTTTATGTTGTGTGTTTTTATCACAAAAATAATATGGCTTCTGAATTTTTATTTACTTCATCCAAAATCAGGCTGCTCACTTTCCAAAGCCATCTCTAAACTTGCAGCCACCTCAAGAGTTGAAGGATGCCTGTCAACTGCTGAGACTGAAGGCAGTCATCAGTCTTTTGCTTCAGCTAATGACAAATGGGAGACCTTGACTTTCTTCTGGGAAGCTGAAAACTGGTGTTATCACCTCTTGTTCAGTTTTCGATGTTGGAAATCCAGAGAGAAGGCCAGTGGCTCAAACAACCTACTTTAAAAGACAGCTCTGTCCTACTGCTGATGCTCTTTAGTGAGACTTTACCCGGTCCTGAATTTTTCTATTAATTTACATTTGGGTAAGTAAGGGTTTAGTACTTGGTGCTGGCTTCAGTCACCCAAGAAAACTCTCACGCAGCCATCAGAACACTATGGTTCTGATGAACCATGTCAGTGTCACCATGCATGTAGACCCAGGCGCTGTGCTCCTCACCTCTAAGAGCTTTAAGCAGTTGGTGATTTCTTTCTTCAAATTTTCTTCTGCCAAGTCACGGGACCGCTCTTCAAGCTTCACTCTTTTCTCCAAGGTGAACCAGTCACACTTGAATCCCAAAGACAGCCTGAGGAATTCTGCCTGGGAGGGGAAGGGGGAAGGCAAATGTGGACCAATATTTATTTGGGTTTAATACAGGATCACAGTGAGATGTTTCTTTCTCCTCCCAGCAAGCCAAGGCTGACATGCAGAGGCTTTGCCTGCCTCAGTCCCTGCCAGGCCAGGCATCAACACATGAGTGTGCAAAAGCATGAAGAAGTTCTTTAAAAAAGACAGCAGCTGGACACAGTAGCTCACTCCCATAATCCTAGCTACTTGGGAGGCTGAGATTGGGAGGATCAATATTGGAGGCCTGCTCCAGCACATAGTTTGAGAGACTCTGTCTCAACCAATAGCTGGGGATGGTGTCACACACCTGTTACCCCAGCTACAGTGCAAAGCATAAATGTGAGGATTGGCCTGGACAAAAAGCGAGACGCCCCCATCTCCAAAGTAACTAGAACAAAAAAAGGCTGGAGGTGCGGCTCAAGCCGTAGAGTTCAAGAACTCAAGACCCTGAGTTCAAACCCCAGGGCCACCAAATAAAGAAAAGGCTACTCACCTCCACCTCCTTCTCATTGGCAGAGGTGCTATAGGAGAAAACAGAGAGCTCTTCAAACACAATCCAGCGGAAACACAAAACCCGTTAAAGACAACACAGAGAAGAGCTTACCTGTCACTTTGCTGAAAGTTAACTGATTTCAATGTGGCCGTGGGAAGAGGGGGAGCCTTGGCTTCTGTAAAAAGACAAGCACCCGTACTCGGTGGGCAGGCGAGTAGGCTCACCACAAGGGCGTTTCCATCCAGTGCTTGCTGTCCTCTAAACAGATGCGACAGTCCCCAGCTCACCTACTTGCTTAACTTGTAGGAAACTGCTATGTTATGTGAGGGTCACCGTGTGAAAACCATCAGCTTATCTCAGGAGGTGAAAGAGCTTGAGAGTTAAGGTCACGACCTCTTTGCATGTTAGTGTGCCTACATTTGGTCCGTGGCTAAATGCACACCTGCCCCATGTCCCATCCAGAGGATCCAAGCTTTCATAACAACAGTGACAATGGTACTAATTGGAATGGTGGTGGTGGTGGTAGTAGTAAGAGTAACATACTGCTGGGGACCAGTGCCTCATGCCTATAATCCCAACTACTCAGGGGGCAGAAATCAGGAGGATTGTGGTTCAAAGCCAGCCCAGGCAGATAATTCACTAGACCCTATCTCAAAAATACCCATTACAAAAATAGGGCTGGTGGAGTGGCTCAAGGTGAAGGCCCTGAGTTCAAGACTCAGTATTGCAAAAAAAAAAAGTAACAACACAATTGTAAAAGTAACAGTAACTCTACATGAGATATGGACCACCGCTCGTTCTAAGCCAGCCCCAGAACAGAATCTACGTGTTAGAGTTCTCACATTATGCTTTGCAAAGGACAATACATAACAGCATTGGCTCTCAACTTGACAATACTTGGTTCAAGTTCAAGTTTTTGATCTTGAACAAGTTGCAACCTTGTTAAGCCATCTACAAGATAAGGATATTATTTTTTATAGAACAGCTAACTTTTATGAGAACTTCCAGGACAGGCCTGTTTCTAGATAACCCCCCACGTACTAATTTATTCTATCCTCACAGCAAGCCTCCTGTGGCAGGTTTCCAGAGGCCACAAAATGGGAGCCACAGGCCTCTCGCCTCACCTAGGGTTTGGAGGATGGGATGAAACAAGGCAAATTTAGCCGAGTGCTTGGCTTGTGGCATCTTCCCAATAAAGTACACTTAGCTTTGTTTAATGTGTCAGTTCCATTTTGCAAATAAGAAAACTTAGACTTGAGATTAAATAGCTTTCTAAAATCACTCAGCTGGTCAGCTGACCCAGTCTGGAGTCTGTGGGACTCCAAAGCCTGAGCTCTATCCACCATTGCATCCTAATGGGGGCTGGGGAGGGAGCAGAGCTGCTCTTACTGTGTAGATGCCACCTTACTTACTTTCAGAGGGATACTGGAGAACAAGAAGCACTGTGCAGGCTCCACACCAGTGCTGGCTTGCTTCTCGGTTCACTGTAGCACGTTATTATTACAGATCCCTGGGAATCACTCAGTGCAAGGTCAACAAGCTTTGGGAACATGACATAAGGACAGAGTCCTGTGGCTGACCTGACTCGGGGTACAGGATTAGCAGGTGGCTGTCTTTTCTACAGAAATATCCTCTGGGAGCCCGAGCTCACGAGGGGCTGAAAGACACACCTGTACCTCCTGTGGCACCTCCTTTCCTATGGTCTTCCATTGTTCTGGGTTCATCCTTGGCTTCCTGAAATCATAAAGAAATTTTATTGTGTGCATAGAATGGGAACCCTTCACAGCCAATCATTCTCGACAGCCTGTCCACCCCCTAACCCTACTCTGTGGGAAGCACTCGGCGAGGTCTGGGAACTATCGTAAAGGTCAAGGGAGAACAGGACTGGCTCCAGGGAGGCTTCTAGTCCAGCTGCAGCAGGAGGGACAGGAATCCACAGAATATGGACATGGCACACGCTACCACGAAGCAAACTGGGATTGATGGCTGAATAATGAGGTCAAAGCAAGCACTTCACACAGGATGGAGAGGCACTGGGCTGGAGCAGCGTGGAAAATCTGTGCGGATGAGGAACACGTGTGGAGAGGCAGGAAAGGGACAAACAGGTAAAAAATGTGGTGAATCTAGGGCCAGCACCGTGGCCTGCTATGTGGGTCCTGGCGGGGGTTATGACAAGTGCAGCTGATACTGTTCTCTGTTGTTAGGCTTTCATTCCACAGGAATGTGTTTTAAGGTCATTTCCCAGCTGGCCTGTAATCACTGTATCTGTCTATCTGGGTCACAGGAACAACAGGTCACAGGAGAGTCTAAAGGGAAAACTTGAGGTATACAGTCATTTTTTTTTTATATCATCAAACATTCTCAGGTGAATAGAGACATTTAGAAAACCAAAGAAGTTTTTCATTAAAAAAAAAAAAATCTAAGGGCTGGTGGAATGTCAAGCAGTAGACAGAGCACCTGCCAAGCAAGGGTGAGGCCCTGAGTTGAAACCCCAGTAATGCCAAAAAAGAGAAGGCTTAAGAAGACACATTTCCTAGGTAGAGCCATTGATGCCATGCCCCATGATTTGTAGACAACTGGAAGAAAGGCTTCAACAAGATGTGAAAGTGTAATGACCCAAGCAAACCATTGGTTCATTCTTGTCAGCAAGGGCAAATCCTCCCTTGGTCCCATGCCCTTTTCAGCCACGGCACTTTCTCTAGCTTCTCTTCACAGCTGCCTGTCCCTCCCCATGGCTGCTTAGCAGTTCTTTATCAAAGTAGCCACTCCACCCAACACCCCAAGGAAACCACCCTGCAGTGATCAGGGACCTCCCCAGGGCCACCCTGATGGCTGACCCAACCTCCCTGCTGCATCTGAAGTGATCTAAACATCCATCCTTCCTGATCATCTTTCTTCCCGAGGTTTTCCTGCCCTGATTTCCCCACCTGCTCTGCACTTGCCTTCCCTAGCAGAGACTGCCAACCATCAATAGTGTGTTATCCTCGGGCATGGAGACACTTGTCTGTAATCCTAGCACCTGGGAGGCTGAGGCAGGAGGATTTCGAGTTTGAGGCCACTGGGCTACAGAGCGAGACCCTGTCTCAAAGAATAAATAAAATCTCCCTGCAGACCATCCACATCTCCCTTCAACCTGAACTTGACTGTGTCAAACTCATTTTACCTTGCAAGTTCTACTCTTTCTCCTCCTCCTGCTCTTCTATGCATCATTGTGGGTTAAACCATGAACCTGTGTACCAGGCTTTTCCCACACCCCTGGCTTCTACCCCTGAATGTACCTCAACTTAGTGGCGTTCCTCCATCGCCACTAATTCAAACTGCCTTCATCTCCTCTTTAAATTATTTCAAGAGCATCCTAACTGGTCCCACCACCAGCACAATGTTTTGCTAATCCTTTTTTTTTTTTCCCTTTGGCAGTACTGGGTTTGAACTCAGGTCCTCACACTTGCAAGGCAGGTGCTCTATCACTTGAGCCACTCCCCAGCCCCTTTTTCCTTATTTTTTTGGATAGGGTCTCTCGTTTTTGCCTGGGCCAGCATTGGGCCACAATCCTCTGACCTATGCCTCCTGCATAGCAGGAATGACAGGCGTGAGCCACTGAGCCCAAACCTAAACCGTTATTTCTTAAAGTGTCTTTTTGAGACTCTTTTTTTGAGATGAGAAGGAACTTTTTCTTAGACAATTGTACTATGAAAAACTGAAGGACTCTACTTTCCCCAGACCCTTTTTTTTGGTAAGAGGAAGCTGTTTTCATCATGTACAGCTATTGCACCTTCACACCGTCAAATAATGACCAGTTTCTTTGTCTGATTAGAACACATAAACCCATGCATGGCAGCTCTACTGTCTTAGTCATGTGCTGGTGGACTCGTGTGTTTAAGCCAGTCACTATTGAGACAGACATTTAGCATGTCTGACAGACCTCCAATGAATGAATGAGTGACCACCATGGAACCAGCTCTGACAATTGTGTGACCTCATAGATGTCACAAGAACACTTTGGCCTCTACTTCTTTGTCCATAAAGTGTTGATGAAATTAAATTCTGCAACCTCATAATGCTTTGTGAAGGATAAAATAATGCTTTTAGAGAATCTTGCAGACTTAAAGGGACAGTTGAGCCACTGGAATATTTCAATTTTGTGCCTTGATTGTCAATGTGCACATTCCTTACCAGATGTGGTTTGGTTTTATCTTCCCTCATGGGGTCTTGGCATGGAGTATTCTCATGACACTTACTGGCGCCTATGATGAGAAGGAAACAGTAAAGAGTAGGGGGTGACAAGTAAAGGAGAAAGAGCTAGTGAGGGTGACAACGTGGGAAAGCCAGCAAATGACAAATTACCAAAATTGACAAATGAGTTATGTCCTACAAAAATGTGTGTACCACTGACAGGGCAGCTACAGCCCCAGAGGCTAAGCCATCTAAGATTTCGAGTGGAAACCAGTGTCTCTCTGGATGTCTTCCATACTCCGCTGTGTTCTCTTAAGCCTCGTGTAGGCCAATGCTACTTTCCTATTGAACACACTTCTGTCCTAACGATAGAACCAGAGGAAGGAAGAGTGAGACGCCTTTGTATAGCTTGTCAAATGGCCAGCAGCCTTGCACATGTAATTAAAGACCTAAATATGATAGTCCACTAAAACATGGAATCGTTCCTACAATGTCATCAAACTAAGATAGGAAACGCTTTTAATTTGTACTATTGTTTCTCTAATTTCTGCATGTTTGTGTGCTTTTCAGGATAACCTGTAGATAATTATTCTCCCCTTCACAAGACCATTGTCCTGCATTTACCTGGGTGCAGGCACAAAGGCCAGCCTCTGAAAGTGGGGTCCTTCATCTCTCCCTCCCTTTTCTTTTTTTTTTTTCAGTACTAGGGTTCAAAGCCAGGCCCTTGTGCATGCTAAGCAAGCACTCTACCACTAAGCTATATCCCCAGCCCTAGTTTCTTTCTTTTTGAGAAAAACATATTTAAATCTTGTGTTAGGTTTTAAATTTTTATATGAAATAAGAACAAAATAGCCACTATATATCTATTTCTCCTAGAGAAATTTTATTTTAGTTTTTCTTTGCATTTTAAGACAGCTTGACATTTTAAGACAGTTTGATATAGTTCATAAACCAAAAAGTGTAAAATGTTTCTCAGTGAAAAATTTGCATCAGCCATGTCTCCAGAAACCCAGTTTTCTTAGCCATAGACAATGTCACTAATTTTTGTCTAGCCTTCCAGAGATATTTTGTGCACAAAATTCTTCCTACAAGATTTTGCATGCTATACATAACATTCTGTACTTTTTCAAAGAAACAGCAGTCCTTCCAAACTTGTAAGAAACAAGTTTGAGTATATAGATATAGATTAATATTCTGTTTTACGAATATGCCAAAGTTTAATCTTTTGTTGACAGTTAATGTGTGGCCAATATTTTGCTGTTACTGATAACTGCAGTAAGTAGTCTTGTACGGAAGTCCTGTTCATTTTGTGGGTATGTACCTGTGCCCACAGGCTAACACCCAGACACTGAATTGTATCACGGATTACACTTCAATAGACTTAGAAAGCTTCTTCCATTTTAGTTACAAAAATGTACATTTCTTCCAGCAGTTTGGGGTTTCTTTTTCCCCTACAGCCTCATAGCAGAGTATCATCATTTTCTGTGTCTTTGTCTATGGGACAGGAGGAAGATGACTAGGGTGACACTAATGAACCATTTCCCCCAGCCAGGAGGGTGGTGCATGCTACAATCCCAGCACTCCTGAGGCTAATGGAGGACGACTGCTAGCTCAAGGCCAGCAAGATAGCAAAACCCTGTCTCAAAAAGAAAATCCTTATTAGCTGTTGGTTGAAATTCTTCAATTAACCCATGGAATGGCTTCTGTTTCTGAAATTTCAACTCAGCACCTGCCTCAACCTTCCGTGGTGGATTTCCTTTTTGGAAGGAAGGAGAACCCACCCCGCCCCATGGGGGTCAACTCAGTGCTGTCTCTCTGGACATGAAGAATAACCAGTTTGCTTTCAGAGCCAGGAAGCAGAACACAGCTGACAATCACCTAGTTATTTCTCCTGCGACCTGAGCGCACTGTTGCTAAGTGCTCCATCCTTCTATCTAAGGGATTCTCATTAGGGTTCCAAGAGTGTCCCTAGCAGGTGATGTCATGTTTGCAACAGGTGAGAACCAGCTATGCATGATAAACTTGGTCATAGGAAACACTTAATTCCATTATAATATAGTGGAATTTTTGTTCTGTCTACAAAATTGAAAAGAAAAATAAAAGGTAACATCCTCACATGTGACAGTCATGGTAACCTCTTAGACTTAATTCTCCAGGCTGTGTCTTCAAAATTCCATTATAAGAATTATTTCAGGGTTGGCAGAGTAGCTCAAGTGGTTGACCACCCGGCCTAGCAAATGTGAGGTCCTGAGTTCAAACCCTACTAGCACCAAAAAAAATTATTTCATAAGATTATAGCCAGCCACAATGGCTCAACTGTAATCCTAGCTACTTGGGAGGCAGAGATTAGGAGGGTCACGGTTGGAAGCCAGCCTGGGCAAAAGAATTCGTGAGACTCCCATCTCAACCAATGACTGGCACAGTGGTGTATACCTGTCATCCCAGCTACAGGGAAAGCACAAATAAGAGGGTCACAGAAAGGCCTTCCTAGGCATAAGGTGAGATCCTATCTCAAAAATAATCAAAGCATGGGCTGATGGAGTGGCTTAAGTGATAGAGTGCCTGCATAGCAAGTGCAAGGCCTTGAGTTCAACCCCCAGTACTGCCACAATAAAAGAATTATTACATAAAAATTAGTATTAAATGATTTTGTTGAGTTACTTCCCCAGCCTGGCACTGAGGTTTGCCCAGTGTCTGAGAATGGAAGCTACACCTGAACCCTTCCATAGCTCACCGATCATGGTGGAAGCCAAGCTGCCGTCCTTTTTCTCACAGGGCGATTTGCAGTCAAGGTCACCAGAGGCCATATGCAAAGTTTCTGATCCAGAATCTGCAGAGAGGAATGGCTGTGCATGAAAGCCATGCAAAGGGAGGATTTTCCTGTGCTCTTATTTGCACGCGGTGGGCACAAAACACCAGGCTTCAAGTTAGAGTGATAACTCTCTCTCTCCCAGTTCACTCACCACTAGTTGTTACAGTGTTCTCCGTGGATGAAGAGTATCCAGTTGTTGGCAGTGTGAGATATTCCCTGATGAAAGGGTATAAGAAATATTTTGGAATGTCAGGTAAAAAGAACTCTCTTAAAAACCAACTGAACATTCACAGAAATTCATACCCAGCACAAACAGCAAACCTGGACTGTGACAGGCTGTCAGAACCCACGTGTTCAACACCATCCTCCTGCAGGAAAAAGCAAAGGAATGAAGGTCAATGACTTGACATTTTCCATCTCAGAAAGCAAACTTTTTCAGACAACTTGTGAACCCGTATCTACTCTGCTCTTTGGAGAGGACATGGGAGTGAAATGGTCTAGAGATGTTGATACGCCTCCCCAAAGCTGTGCTTGTAAAATGTACCCAATTTTCACTGTATTTAAAATTTTGATATTTAAAGAAAACCTGATAAAGTCATGGGCAAAACAAATTCCAAACTCAAAGGGCAGATAGAGTTTATTTCACCAACTTAAGTTCATGTTTTCTTTAAACAGAACATTCTACGTGAGCATAAAACATTTCTATTTACGGGAATATTAGTCAACTTAAAACTTTTGACCTTGTAGTAAAAACATTTCTCAAGTTTCCAGCCAGACAAATCATACATTTTAAAGTTAATCCATGTCTCAGAGATCCGAGGATTACATGTAAATCAGCACCTAAACTTTGGCAGAAAGCCTCAGGACTGTGGTCCCAGCCTGTTGGGCCGGGTCTCATACATCTCGCTCGAACTTCTAAAGCTGTTTTCGGAATTCCAAGTTCGGGGGGAGCTTTAGGGCTTTCCTTTTTAGCAATAAACTCTCATAATTTTTTTTTCATTATATGTACTTAGGAAGATATATTAAATGTTAATAAAACTGAAATCATTCAGACACGTCAGGAACCGCACAGAAAAACGAAGGCACACATGTATACATATATAAACACATTCCATACACACAGAGCTCACTAGCTACCCCAGCCAACAATGTACTTCCATGGGGGATGCTGTATGTCACACAGGGTATCTACAATATTGAGAAAATACTTGCCCCCCACTCACTGAAAGGTGACAGTGTAGCAAGAGCCAGAATTGTAGACACCCTGAATAACAAACAGCACGCTACATCTGTCTAGTGCATAAAAGTTTATAAGAGTCCTTTTGTGTGTTACCTGATGAGAGAGAGAGAGAGAGATTATATACACACATATTTACTTATTGCAAGAAATTAAACACAATGAATAAAGCAGTGTCCCACGAGCATCAGAAGGCAGAGTAAGTCGTCAAACCCACACTAGACCGAGGGCAGTGTTTTCTTTGTTGCTAAGCAACAAACTCATAAGCAAGGATCTCAAGCCTGGACTATTGGAGAAGGCTCCTGACTATTGTCTTAGGTTGTAAATATTTCAATATAACTTTTTAATTTCACCATGGCTTTTCTCGCTTCAAGGGGTCCCCTGGTCAGAGTAGCTGTGACTGAATCCTCAGATGACACCAGTCTAATCCCACAAAAGCACAGTTCTAGCCCTGAGGGACAAGGCCAGTTGGAGGGCAACACAGGGAACAAGTTCCTCACAGCATTGCAGAGAGAAGAGATGTTCCCAGAACGGAAGTAACAGGGTACAGTGATGCTGGAATTATTCTGAGTAGAGAACATTACCTGGTGGCAGATAAGTGATGATGGCCTTGCCTTTTCATTACTTAAATTGTATTGGTAATTATCCTATTTTTATCTGCCTATATTCCTTTATGAAATCAAGCTATAAAATTGAATCTCCTCAGTTTCATTGGCTATCACACTTTATAAAATAAGCAATTGACTTCTTAATAAAAACCAAATGCCTTTAATGTTTCATAACATATAAAAATTATTGCATGTATTTTGAAATAGCACTTGTTATTGTACTGTAACTAAAGGCTAACTTTGTCAGAAAAGCCTCAGGGTCACGGTACTTATACTTGAGTTTAGGAAGTAGAAAAAGAGGTGTCATTATCACTTCTGTTCAGCTGAACTGGCTTCCAAAGTGGGGATATGGGAACATGTCTTTTTTCTTTGCAAATCTTTATAGAAAGTCTATTATTATCCTCCTTAAAGTCAAAATAATAACTACAGAAGCGCCCAATTTTCCCCAATTATGCTACAGATGACACACTGCTCTGCCTGGGCCTTCTTTTTCCTCCACCACACAAATGAAACATTACATTGAGAAGTGGTTTTGATAAGTACAGAATAATTATTGATTAAGCACACAATAACCTGTGATTCTGAAGAAGCCTCCTGTTTAATAGCTGTACATTTCTCCATGGTCTGGAAGAGTTGCAAAGTGAAAAAAAGAACATTCCTCCCAGAAGAGTGATAGCCCATCCCAAGCGAGCAGAAAACCCAGTACACAGCATGCCTCAGCCCTAGCTTTTCGTAACTTCAGTCCAGCAACACTTTCTCCTTCTTTCAAGAATAAACAGAGTAAAGGATTTTTTCTTTGGTTCTAATTATTGAGAGTTGGAGCTGCAGCTCTGCAGGAGTCTGCCTGGGGGACAGGACCGTGCTCTAGTCCTCCTGCATCAAAAGCCACATCCCAGGGACCTCACCTGCCACCAGTGCGGAGAGCTGGAGTATGTAGAGAGACTTATCCCTGACTTATCTTAAAATCAGGAAAGCCAGGCCAGTGACTGAGAAAGAGAAGTCGGGAGGCAGACTTACTAGGCGAGGAAGGTCGGCTGCAGTTGGGGAAGCAGGCACATGGTGACAGCTCAGGGCAGGAGGGGCCACCTGATATGTACTGCTCCGTATTTACATGGAGCACTCAGTCCAGCCCATCAGCAAGGTTAATAGAGGGTGGGGTGGTGAGGACTCAGAACAAAGTGAGACACCTTGTCAAGGCCTGGGCCTCTCACTCACACAGATGGCTGCCAATGTTAGAGAACTAGGAAGAACCTGAAGAAAATACTTTGAAGGCTTTAGCAGTGACAGTTAACTTCCCTAGATAAACCTTGAGGATATTTTCTGCTGTTGCTTTCACTACAGACCTCATAATCAGAAACCTTTCAGTTGATGAACACTGAGGTTACTAATAGAATTTTTACTAATGGACCTCGTTTGAACAGCTGGTTGACTAAATGCAAGAACAAAAGTAGAATGCAAGTCTGCACAGACATCAGGCTGCACTCAGTGTCCTGTGTGAAGGGAGGAAGACTGTTAAATTGAACTTTGAACGATTAGAACTGCCGGACCCTAAACCAAGCTGAATTTCCTTACGTGTTTAATCTCAATTTCTAGCTGAAAGCACACCACACCCTCGGACCTTCAGGACACACCTCCCACTGTGAGCTCCATTTATAACCACTTATCAGCCAGCATCTGCGTGTCCCAATTTTGCAAGAGGCAATGTTATTTCTTCTCCAAGTTTATTAACACCGCACCTCCACACAGCTTGAGAAAACAGGGCAGAAAATGACCAGAAAATCTCTAGGGATATTTTTACCTTGATTCTGTTCCTTGCCTCAGTAAATCTCCTCTCAACAATGGTGTAGCTTACCCAAAAATGTGTGATGACATGAAAGAGAGCTCAGAGGGAGGCAAGGCATTTATAATTTAGTGTAGGTGATTTTTCTTTTTTTTTTGAACAGCCAAAAAGAAAATAGAGAAATTCATCCCTGGACCCCCGACCTGTTATAAGGTATCATCTGAATTCCACTCTGCTGATAATTCTTATTATGGAAAATGGTTATGGTTCCTGCTTTGTGAGAGTTTACTGTAAGCCAGGGATTGATTTCACGGATTACATTGGTGTGGTCAGATCAGAAACTGGAGCAAAATAAGGGAGACTCCATCTCATTGTCATAGAATTATCATGGAACTTAATTCTCAGAGTATCTGGGGACACAAAGGGTACCTGGCCAAAGTCCAGTTGGCAAAGAGGCCCAGGAACTTTCTGATAGTCTTCAGACTTGGTGGTGGGAGAAAGGACTCAGGAAGGTAGACAGAGGAAGGAGGGCCCCTGGGTGCTGGGAGAAATTACCAGGCAAGGAGGACTTCAGGAAGTGGTTCCAGCTGCCAAAGGGATCAGTGATGCTACGCCAGTCACAGACACAGCCATGGCCACTGTCTCCTGCTGTGTCTTGGGAAGTACAAGACAATTTTCCCAGCATTCACAAGGAACCTCCTGACCCTGCACCACTGGGGCCCCCCTGAGAGCTGAACAGGAAGGGAGAGTGGCCTGTGCACTGACCAACAAAGGTGGTCACCAGACAAGGCAGAGCTCCAAGGAGGTGGCCAGTGGTACAGGTAGGGACAAGGAGCAAGAGGGACAGCAGAGACAGGAGGGTGAAGCCAACCTTGCTGGCCCTCGGTTTCACCGAGGTTAAATGCCATCTGGAACCCATGAGTTGGTGAGCTCTAAGGCACTGGGATGTGATGTGTGTCTCTGGAAATGCTGGGAAATTGGGGAAGGGACCCACACATAAAAGGCTTCCATTCACCTCCGAGTGGGAAACAGGACTGGGAGGCATGGTCTTTCCCTCAAATGGGGCTGTCTGGTTTGTTTCCACAAACTGGTTATTCCAGAACTCAGCTGTGCAGCTATTTAGACATGGATATATATGATTACGTGTGTGTCCAAGTACTCAAAAAGATCCCTGTAAAGTCACCTCTGTTTCACAGGACACAGCCTCCGGAGGCCGCTTGTCCAAGCTCACACGGCCAGTGACACTGCAGCCAGAATTGAATGCAGGTGTTTCATCCCAAAAGTTCATATTGCATGAAAGCTACACTGATTACCACTGAAAGAAATTTCCAATAAATACAAAAGATGATAGATCCTGGGGATCCAGCAATTGTCAATAAGGCTGTCTTGGTTCTTCTGCCCCCTCCCACGTTACACCTGCCCCTGCTCCTGTGTAAAGCAAACCCCAGATGCCCAACACCTCACCCATTCGCAGTTCTATGAATCTCTAAATGATAACCACTGGGAATTCTCTATTTCCTTTTTTCCTGACTAGACTAAAACATCCCCAAGAAACTAATTCACTGCCCACAAAATAGCTCTGTTCTCCTCAGGAGTATCCCAAACTAGACTCCAAATTACTTTTCTATGAGATTTTTTTTGAGACATCAATCTTATTAGACTCCTTTACCCAAAGACCCCATTATAAATACTTTCAGTTTTACTCTACATCGTGCCCTATGAAAAAGATGCTAGAACATCGCTTCCTGTGGCAATATGAAGAAAAAACAGAAGATAAATTTGGAGTCTTTAGGACACAAAGAAAGGAGTCAGCAACAGGTTGAGTTCTCACAGTGATTGCAAAACAAGCAGGCATCTGGCAGCTGTGAAGGAGAAGCTGAGTCCATCAGATTGGAGCCAGGTGCCAGGTGCTCATCACCTCAGAAAATGAAAAACTACCATGCAGCCAGAATCTTGGTGGGAAGAAAGCAAGTACAAGGAGTTACGTGGGTCTCAAAGAAAGGAGTGAAATAGGCCAGTGTGGTGACTCAAGCCTGTAATCCCAGCTACAGAAATTGAGAGGATTGTGGTTTGAGAACAGCCCAAGCAGAGAGTTCAGGAGGCCCCATCTCAACAAAAGAAGCCAGGCATGGTGGTGCCCGTCTGTCATTCCAGCTACTTGGGAAGTGTAAACAGGAGAATCACAGTCCAGGCCAGCTTGAGCAAAGTGTGAGATTCTGTCTCAAAAAAAACCAAACCAAAAAGGGCTGGGGTGTGACTCAAGTGGTACAGAGCTTACCTAGCAAGCATGAGGCCCAAGTGCAAACCCCTATTCTTCCCCCCCACCCCCCCGCCCCTCCGCCAGAAAAAGGGAGTGAAATAGTTCAGAAATAAGTGTGCCAAGGTCTGAAATCATGACTTTCCAGACTCGCACAGAAGATGACCCAGGGAAAAACCTGGTCTCCCAACCTCTAATCTATGATGACTCACGTCAAGAACTGGGGTGCCTGACAACTTCATGCTGTCACAGAAGGCTTTGTGAGGTTGGCCTTGACAGTCAAGTGGAATTTTGACAGATGGAGAGGCATATAGTGTTCCTGGCAGAGGAAACACCCCAAACAGGTTTGTGTGATTTATTCTGACAACACCTGGTTTGGCTCCTTATTGGAACAATCACAAGACAATGATGAGGAAATAAAGGTAGAAAGGTAAGTGTGAGCAGGCCAAAGGGGGACGTGACTACAAGGTCAAGTTGTCTGTAGAAGGCTGAGAAGCCTGACAGAAAGTCATAGTATAGAGCCAAGGAGTTAAGAAAACCCACCACCGTGGGCTGTGCTGGGATGAACACAGGTCATGGCTTTGGTCATTTTACCTTATGTTGATTCTGATTTCCTGTGCGTACTATTAATAAGAAGTCTTCACAACTAGAGCTTGCTACTTGCTTAGAGGCAGGGTGGGGGATGGGGGAGGTAGGCCTGTTCAGGGCCAGGGTGAGGAGGAAGAGGTTCGGCAACAGCTGTGGACAGTCTTCTGTGGAACAGAACCCTAGGACAAGAATGTGGAGACCTGGCAGCTGCAGCCACAAGTCCTGAGAATAAGAAGTGACACAGAGGCAGGTGACAAACTCAGGGAACTTGTACACCCCCAGGAGCATCCCACAGAGAACCTGTACCCCCTCAGGAGCATAACACAGGGAACATATATACCCCCACGCCCAGGAGTGTCCCACAGGGAACCTGTATGCCCCTCCCCAGGGAACCTGTACACTCCCCCCTCAGGAATACCCCACAGGAATTTCGATGCAGCCCTGGGAGCTCCATTTTCTGAATAGCATCAAGACTGCGAGCAAAACGACTCCATCATTCATCGCAGACAGAGGACAAGAGCTCCTGTTAGATACATAAGCAGCAGATACGATAGCCAAAACATTCCAGCTCAAGGTAACTACGTGTCATCATTGTGACTGACCTCAACTCGGTGCACTGCGAGGGGTTGTGCAAAGGGCATGGCTTTGAAACTAGCTGCACCTGAATTTGAAACTTACTACTTGAGTGACCTTGGGCAACGACTTGACGCCCTCAACTTCAGGGGCGATGTGAAGAGCAGACGGTGGCACCGGTGGAGTGCTCACAGGTTGGAGATGGTGGAGACGCCTTTCTACAGTGTGCCTGCCGCACACCAAGGCTGCTGCTTCCCCTTCTTGGGAAATCAGGGCCAGATAAAAGGGAAACTGTGCACTCGGCTGCTTCTGAGCTCAACTTCCTTCGTTAAAACGAAGGGGACTGCTAAGTAAGAGCAAAACAGCTTCGCTTCCTTTTTCTTTCTTTTAGCTACTCAGCAAGACAGGTACAATGAACAGGAAAAAATAATGTCAGAAACACACACATAAAAGGAAAATAAGAGTGATTCACGCAACTCAACAGCAAAAAGAAATAGAACCTGTTTTAAAACTGGGCAAATTATCTGAGGAAACATATTTCCAAAGAAGATATGCAAATTGTCAACACACACCTGCAGAGACCTCATTAATCACTAGGGAAATGCAAATCTAGACTCAGCGGGACTCCACTTTGCATTCATAAGAGAGCTAGAGTGAAAAAGATGGATGGTGGTGAAGAGGGCGTAGGAATTAGGCTCTTCCCCTGTGACTGGGGGCAGTCAAGGGGATCAGCTGATGGAAATCTGTCTCACAGTTCCCCAGAATGTTATGAAGTTATGTCTGATGCAGTAATTTTACTCATACATGCAAAAGAACAAAACTGTATACACTAAGGTTCATAGCAGCACTAGTCACATGACAAGAAGCAGAAACGACTCATAAACGGGAGAATGGATGAAGTGTGGGGTCCAGCCGTGCAAAGGAAGATTGCTCTCCACGTAAGTGAGTGAAGTGCTGACAGCATGTGGAAGACCTTATGCTAGCTGCGAGACGCCAGGCAGGAGGTCAGATATCCTTTTACCCGTTTGTAGGAGACGTCCTTCACGGGAAGATCTTTAGAGACAGTAGACAGCTGGTGGCCTAGGGCTCAGGGTAGGAGGAAAGGGGAGAGACTGCTAGTGGGCACAGGTTTTTTGAGGAGTAAAGTATGATCAAAATGTTCTCAAATTGATTATGGTGATAGTTGTATAATTCCCTGTGAATATGTTTTTAAAAACATCTAACTGAACAGCTTAGAGTAATGAATTGCTTGGTGCGTAAGAATTTTATCCTGATAAACATATGAAAAAGAATAGTAAGTGGCTAGATCGGAGACAGAGCTGTCTCCTCCCTCTGGCAGAGATCACAGTGCGTGCCCAGGCAGCAGCCTAGGAAAGGCACTCATATGGCAGTGACCTAAGTGACCTCCCCATGTCACCTAGCACAATGCTATGCTCACGTTTCTTAGAGAAGTGGCATTACTAGCTGTCTTTGGCAATGGGGTGTGGCCTTGCGCTGTGGTCTGTGACAAAGGGCAGCCCCTCAAAGTTCATCTATTCTCAGCTTCAGTTCCTGAGACTTCATGCAGTCATTGGTGAATTTAAGTCCCCAAACAGCCTGCTGCTCAAACACCAAGCTTAGCACGCTTTGCCCAACTCTCCCTTTGCTCATACAACTCAGAATTCCACAACAGGAGGAGTAAAAACCCCCAAGACTCAGTTTAGTCTCCTGACCTCAAAGGTAGAAATTTCTCTGTATCTGAGCTCTGGGGTGTCAGGCTCATATTTGCCGTGAGAGAATCCGCAATACTTTTTTAGAAAGGAAAGGACAGGAAAACAGAGCATCATAGAAGAGAAGCAGGAGACGGTAATAACGAAGGAATGCAAACTTCCAGACTCACTTCCATATCGAGGTCATCATTCATCTTGACGCCACCTGAAAAACCAGATTCTGGGACAGGGCCTCCTGCAGGGCCTGGGCTCCTGGCAGGAGAAAACAGTCACTTACTATAGGTACAAAACTGAATTTTAGCATGTACCAAACTCCCCACCCCAGTCTATCAAATTTCTGACTTAAGTTCATGGTTTAAAAAGACTTGATAAAACAGGGCACCCTCTCCATAGGGAGAGGTCACTGACAGCAGAACAGCAAGCCAAGAATGAAATGAATGAAAATGAAGCATTTGCAATTCAAAGTCTTGCTTCCTTACCCTCAGTACAGAAGGGAAATGTCACTGGGTACTAATCCTCACACATACCCCTGACACTTGAGTTTTTCCTAAGATCAGTCTGCATACTTAAACAGAGTAAGTGCACAGGAGAGTCAGAGGGTAATGGGTGTGGGGACAGGGCAGGCTCCCCAGGGCTTCTTACCCTTGGTGTGAAAGGGACAGAAATATGACAAAACTCATGACCCAACCATGGGCCCAGAGCTGTTCCTAAAAGCCAGGAAGTATCATAGGCATCTAATTTGCCTTTTGAACTTTTAGAATAGATGTGAAATTCAAAATCAATGTCTTTAGTTTAAAATTGTAAATCTTCAGAAAGTTAGAGTTGGCCCACAGTAAAGGTGTTCTGACATCAGGCTATGAAAACCTGATTAAAAGGCAGGCCTTGGAAGCTAGCTACCCTGGAGGCTAGTCAGCCTCCCGCACTCTTCCAACTCACTTGCGTGGTTTTGTCACAGCCAAAGCACGGTCCTTTATTTCTCCATATCTGGGCCTTTCACACAGGTGTGGATTAGGTTCGCCCTGCATGAGGAAGACACCGAGCTTAGTCTTGGATTTGCCATGGGGCTGTCCACATACAAAACATCTGCAGTAGAACACAAAGAAATAAAACAGAGATTGACTTCTGGCTCAGACTATACCACAGATATATCATTCCCTATGGGAGACACTAATCGGACCATTTCTGAAAAAACAAAAGACGATCAGATTCTATCAACATTTTAACATGGGATCCCCTTCAGTTCCACGTGGGGAGTGGAAATATCAAATTCCCAACTGACAAATGGATTAAGAAAATGTGGTATTTATACACAGTGGAATTTCATTCAGCCACAAAGAAGAATGAACTTTTGTTGTTTGCAGGTAAATGGATGGAACTGGAGAACATCATCTTAAATGAAGTTAGCCAGGCTCAGAAAACCAAAGGCCACATTTCTCTCATATGTGGAATATAGACCTAATACAAATACAGCAATATTATGAAAAACAGTCATGCCAAGGGGAGATCACATATGAGAGAGGGAAGGTAAAAGAAGGAAGCTAAAAAGGTGAATATGGTTGATGTATACTTTTTATACAAGAATGAATATAGAATTTTTAAACCTGTTGAAGTCACTAGAAGAAGGGGACTGAGGCAGAAAGGAGAAAAATAGAGGGGATGAACCAATTTGGGTTATAATACATCTGTACATGGAAATGTCACAAGGAGATACCCTGTATAGCTATCTTAAGAAAACAAAAATGTCTTTTTTACAAAAACAGAGAATAGAAAAGTAAAACAGTTCCTGTCTAGGGGTTGGTACCAGTGGGAAGGAGGAGGACATAAGGAAAGGGTGTAGGAGGGTGAATATGGTGGAATATTATGTACTCATGTATGAAAATGGGAAAATGAGACCCGTTGAAATTATTCTGGGTATGTAGGGGAGGAGGGATAAAGAGAATGATGGAGGGGTGAATTCAACTATGATATATTGTAAGAACTTTTGTAAATGTCACAACGTACTCCCAGTACAACAATAATAGGATAATAAAAAGTTTTTAAAAGTTTGTGGTGGACAGAAACCCTTTTCCCATTGAACATCTGGATGGCCAACATCTATAGCCAGCAGGCAAAGTCCAGCCACTGCCTGTTCTGTAAATAAAGTTTTATTGGCACACAGTCATGCCCACTCATCGGCTACTCGAATGTTCCAATAGGAAGTTGAATGGTTGCCATAGAAACCATGTGGCCCAAAGAGCCTAAAACTGATCATCTGGACGTTTCCAGGACAACTCTGTAGAGTCCTGAAGAGAAAAAGTGTTGGACACCATGATTAGAACCCCTCAGAAAGCAGTGCTGGAGGTAGGTTGGGACGATGAACTGTTCTCCTGGGAAACCATGTTGTTACTTGTGTTTCTGAGAACAGGAACTAGCAGAGCTTCATGGAAAAACATACACTTTGGAGTCGACCACAATTTCCAGTTCAAATCCTGGCTCTGGCACATAGTGATTAGGGGTAAATACTTTTACCATTCTGAGCCTCAGTCTACTTATACAAAAAGTGATACATGACTTTGGGCAAATTACTGTCTCAATGTTCATCTGTCTTCTCAACTTTAAAATGCGAATTACGGGGACTGAGGGTGGGACTCAGTGGCAGAGTGTTGCCTAAGGTGTACAAGGCCCTGAGTTCATCCCCAGCACTGCATAAATGAATAAAAGAACGGGAGGTATGTCATTGCCTCTTAGGAAGGAAGTGAGAGTTAAATGAGTTGATAGAGCCCAGAACAAGCAGGGGGTGAGCATCCTTAGGTGCTGATGGTGGTGGTGACCTCTGAGCCCTAATCTCTTTTCTGACATACAGAACATTCCATCAGTAGTGGTCCTAGTTTCTCCTCTTGAAAATTATACACAAACCACTTCCTTTCCCTGCATTCTTTCTTGAATTTATCTTTAAAAGTTATTTTATTAGCATATCATGCTTGTACAGGGGATACACTGTGACATTTATGAATGTGCTTACAATATCTTAGTTAGTTCTACCCCTCCATCATTCTCCCTCTTCCCCCTTCTTAGAACAATTTCAACAGATTTCAGTCTTCTATTTTCATGGATGGATATAAAATACATCCACCATATTCACCTCATTCCCCCTTTCTTTGTGCTCTTCCCCATCCCACTGCTTCCCATCTCCGGAAAAGACCTGCTTAAATTCACCCTCACAGCATCCATTTCTTTCATCATTTCAGGGCCAGCATCAACGTTTGCTCTTAACTACACCCAGGCAGCTCAGCGCTGTGAGGACTTAAACACCCTCACACCTGGCTCTCCCTCCTGCCTGGAGTCTGTACCTGTCACAGTGTGACCCAGGTCTGCTTTTCCTTTGGCAAATCTATCTTCTCTGGTGTCTTGATCTGGATTCTCTCACTTCCAAAATGAGATTCGACTCTTCTTCAAACACATGAGGCTTTTACGTTCTTTTTTAAAACTATATTTATCAGCATATATTTTATCAGCATGATAACTAAATTATTAAAACTATTATTAAAACCATTTTTATCAGCATGATTCAACAGATGTGTACAGTGCACTTTGCGCTAGGCCACACCTCTATTATCCCCCCAACCCCCTGCTTCTCCCACTTTTTCAAATGGTATTTGGTGGGTGTCATTTTACCTTCTTCAGAGATGTCTACATGCATGTATGGATATATGTACACAGATCTCTATCTACATATATATAGACATATAAAACACATTTTAATCCGACTCACCCCCTGACCCTCTCCTCTCCTCCTCCCCACTCTGAGTGATCCCCCTAAAAAAAAATTTGGCAGTACTGTGGTTTAAACTCAGGGCTTTGTGTTTGCAAGGCAGGTGCTCTACCAAGCCTCTACTCCTGACAGTTCCCATTTATACCATTATTAATCATTATTATTATTTTATTGTCACCATCACTATCATTTTAGGTCTAGGGTTCTCGTCTGAGTGATAACATGGGATATTGCCTTCTGAGCTTGGTGTTTCTCACTCAACATGGCCTCCAGTTCCATTTATCTTCCTGCAGAAGACATACTTTCATTCTTTATGGCTGAAACATTCTTACTTCTCTTTTTATTTTTGGTTTCACTTGCTCATGTCATCCCACCCATCAGAATTCTTCCTATAGGATTTTCACTTTTCCAAACCCATCTGTCTGTCTTTCAATTCTCCCTCTTCTGTGGAGTCTTCTCTGACTTCTGAGCCCAGGTCTCATTTTCCACTAGGCTGTGAGTCACTTTAGGACTCGCTCCTCACTTGGTACACCGTAAATGCTGGAGTATATACTGATTGAATGTGAACACCAATGTCCAAGTGTTCAGCACTTCTTCCTATGCAAATATATTTGTGATTATTTTCCATTGCAGAAGCCCCCCCTCCCAGCTATGTCTGAGCAGGTGTAGGAGGCTGTCTGACCCTGATCAGAGAGCAGAGGTGTACACAAGCATGTGTGTTTCAAGGTTAGGGTGTAGAATGAATTCTAGCTTCTTGACCACTATGTGGTTTGTGGCAGCACTGCTTCTGAATAGAAAACCAAGTATTAGCTGTCTAAAGAGATGTTACATATGTCATATTTTCTTCAACTTCAAAGGTACAAATATGTCCCGGGTCGCAAAAGACCCTGGGAGAAAGGCCAGGAAGAAAATAAATGATATCAAGCAGAAAACCCCATGTTCTGATTATGAGGTATTAGAGAGCCAGGTGTGGTGATACATGCCTGACATCCCAGCTACCAGGGTGGAGGAAGGAGGACGTGGTTCAAGGGCAGCCCGTGCAAAAGTTAATGAGATGCCCTGTCTGAGAAGCAAACCGAAAGCAAAAGATCTGGGAGTGTGGCTCAAGTGGTAGAGCACCTGCCTAGTATCTGTGAGGACTGAGTTCAAACCTGAGAACCACAAAAAAGAAAAAGAAAATAGAAATAGCATAGAAGTAAATGAGAATTCTTATTTTAAAACCGAGGTTCAACAATTTAACAAAGCACTCACATTACCAATTCCAAATAATTGACACTTTGATATAAACACAGGCCTTAAGGAAAGAGGTAAGAGTGAGGGGTAAGCCAGGTTACAGAATTTTTCATGTACCACCACCAAAGAGCATTAAGTATGGCCACTTCTTAGGCCAACCAGGATAGTGTGTGTGTGACAGAGAGAAATTTAAAAAAATAGGTATCCATTGCTTACCTATTAAACGGAAGCACTTTACCTTAGGTGTGAGGCAACTGATATATTCTAGACCTGGCTTTCTGTTTTGGCATAGTAGCTGGTTATAATTGCTACCTAAATAACTTCAATTTTTCTTGAAGAGGCTGTTGAATTTTCTCTGAAGAGGGCAGGGGATCTCAGTGAGAAAATTCCTCATCCAGAAAGCTCTGTCATGAGAACATAGTCGAGTGTGTCAAAAGGTAGAATGAGGACAGGGTCAAGGGCACAGAACAGACTTTAGAGGAATGTGATGCCACCCAAGGTGGGTTGTCTCTATTTTACTTTCACACACTTTTAATTATAAACCATTGTGGCATGTTCCTTATTCCTCCATCCACCAATGCGGTCTGAAGACCAGGAATGGGCTGAGTGACTTTGCCAAGGAAATCCTTAGACAAAGACCACAACAGCTTGTGGTGACAAAACTCAGAATAGTGAACATGACGTCTATGAAAAACTTAGAGTACTAAAGTTGTGGCCTTAATCCAAGAGTTGTATATGTATCTATCAGGTCACACTCTTATAGAAAGGTTGTTGGTGACCCCGAGCTGATCAACCTTCTTTAGGATGAAGATTTTTCCAGCTCGACTTTTTTAAAAGGGCATTTGCCTAGTTTAATATGCCATGTGAATTTTACCTCCACTTAGACAGGGGTGCCTGCCTTGTGTCCTGGAAAGACATCCATGCCCACCTCACCCTTCTCTTTCTCTTTCTGTCTCCTCCAGTGCCAACCTAACTACATCCTTCATTTATGAACCAAACAGGAGACTCGCCAAGGGAAAGAAATATGTTCTACTCTATCATGAGCATCATGAGGTTCCCAGACAGAAAGGTGTTGAAGTTTTAATTCAAAAATTCAAAA